CATTTGATTGAGGGATTATTTTACAGACAATTTTGCTCTGGTAATTTTAATCGTGATTGTTCTCACAGTTCATAAAAAATGATTGTCATAAACAAACTTTCTGAAGGCACCAATACCCGTGGCAGCAGTCAAATACTTGTAACTGGCTTTTTATTGAAACCCCAGCTATTTGACCATTGCCACCAATAACTAAAGTACCTATGTAAAATGACTTTCCTCATTACCTTCTGATAAATTTTTCATATTTTGGAAAGAGAAATGTTTTGCCGTAACACTACATATATAAACATCAAGGCGCTGATTATGCACCTATTTTGAGTCTTTGTTAATTTCCACAGGGCTTCATAGAGAGTGTTTGCCATCACATTAAAAAGTTATCAGAGGTAGAAAGATCTATTTTTGAAGAATTGGCTGAGTGGAGGCATTTGCAGCAGAGGTCTCTGTGTGGCTTTCCTTGCCCACAAGCTCTTGACAAACTTCAAGAAATGTATGTTGCCACTTAATCTGTTTGTTTCTAAGTGTTATTGATCAAAATCTTAATGTCATCAAAACAACATTTTTGAAAGAACTCCATATCTGTCGTATTGTGTGTGTTTGCAGATGTGAGGTACTTGCAGAGCTTCTTTGGGAGCTGTATAAACAGGCATCACAGGTGCATTCTTAAAAAAAAAATACTTTTAAAAGTTAATAATAAGATTTTATGCTACTTTAACTTTATAGTGAATTTCATATATAATATGGTGATTTGGTGTCAAAGGGTTATTCATAGTTTGTTAAACATAATTAAAATTTAGTTGAAATTTGAAATTGTTCCAACATTGCCTAATTGGCATGCTAATTGGGAGTAGATCTGGACAATGATTCATGCATTTTTCTATTAGTTTGCCTTTCATTTCTGAGAAGAAATGTATTTTTTACTACATAAAAAACACCCAAATTTGTCAGTTGTGTCCTTTTTCCAGTGACAATAACAATAAATTGGTAAAAGGTGAGTTAGTACATATGCTTGTACATAGTGCTGCACAATACAAAACTCCTCTGTACCTTGCAAAATGAGCTGACTATGAATTATATGCAATGGGAATATTATTGTGATAGAGATGAAGGTACAGAAATATGAAAAACTGTGCATTCTGAAGTTCTGTTTGGAGTTTTAGATGTGATCATTGTGCATAATGGCATTTTTGCCCACTTTAGGTGACTATAGAGAATTAGACTTGACGTATGGTTTTGACAAGAGTATTTATACTTTGTTGTTGTATGACTTTTAATCAGCTTGACAACCTTTTCCACCAAGCATTCCAAGGGAATGAAATTGAACTTAAAAGGATGGAGAATGTAAAGATTTCTGCAAAAAATATGATGCAGTGGTTTTTAAGCAAGTAAGTACAGATGTCATATGGAGGTGACACATCCTAAACGTTTAATATAGATTTAAATACTTACTATCATTATTACAAGCAATAAAAAGTACTGATCAGTTTTCTTTTTTTCCTGTTTATAGGACATTCATTGTAGAGAGACAGCCTCCTCAAGTTTTGAAGAAAGAAACAAAGTTTGGTGTTGTTATTCGGTATGAAACCAAGCACTACGTGAATGCCCTTTTTTTTTATCGTACTTACAAAATGACTTTTACACTTACTTCTTCTTTGAAGTTGTATTGATTAGTTAACTATCAGATAGTCTTGACAATTGATAAAGGAAGAATACCAGCTAATTAGCATTTGTCTCACTAATTTACGGCAAGCAAGTTTCAACCAAAACTGTTTTTACTGATCAGCAAATTAAACGCAACAGATTTTGCTAGACAGGAATCCTCTTGTGACATGTGTTTCAGTGAACTGATATATATAGCAGGATCCCCAATAGCTTTTTCGGGATCCAGGATTTTCCTTCTTTGATGGCCCGGATTCGGGATTTCAAAGCAAAATGATGGCGAGATTCGGGATTGAAAGTATGCACGGGGTGTGGGGTGCCGAAAATAACGACTGTCTCCTCGGGATAACGGGATTGAGCGAAAATTTGGGTCGAGATAACGGGATTGAAAAATCTTATTGGGCCAATGAGGAAGGACCCTTATCTAGAGGTGAAATCTGTCCTCGGGATTTGTGTTCGTTGAAAGGATCCCAAAGAATCTAGATTTCTAAGTCTGAATCCTGATTCCTTGTTAAAGGCACCCTATATTTACAGTCGTTTCATTTTCAACAGGCATCTGATTGGTGACAAGCTCAATGTATTGGTACACCCTCCAGAAGTCAGTTGTTCCTTGCTCTCGTAAGTACTCCTTCATTTCCCACTCTTTCGTGATGTCGTATGCTCAAATAAACTAATGTTTGTTGTATTTAAAAACTGATTTAGAGAAAAGCAAGCTCAGGCTTTTTACACTGGGAAATCTCCTAAAAGGTAATTTGAATTTTAATATCATTTAGCGTGAAAAGCTTCTTTTCATAAAGAGAGTATGAAACATGTTCTCCTCCATGTATTCTGTTTGTATATGAAATTTAGTGGAATAAGACTAAGAATCAATTTCACCTTAGCTTTTAGTAATCTAACTTTTGCTTTTCCTGAACTAAATCAACCAACGTTGTTGAGTTGGGTTTTTGATGAACTAAATGACTGCTGTTTACAAGTAGGAGATTGAAGTTTGCACTTAAGCGCCTCTTTGTAGCCGTTTGCTAAAATGGGACTGAACGAAGTAGCTGTTTTGAGAACTGGGAAGTCTCGTTTTTGACCAACTGACGTCTGTCATTTTCGCGCCAAAACGTTCACTAGATTCCGTTATAGCAAAGTTTGTTGAGCCGCCCGGTTAACAACTCACACTTGGGTCCGCCAGAAAGCCTTGCTGTCGTGTTGTTTCCTCAGACAAGAAATTTTGCTTCTCTTTTTTTCTCTTCATCCACGCGTGTGCAAATGGATACCGGCGACGTACTACCGGGATAAACCCTGCGATGTGCTAGTTTCCCATCAGGTAGTGGGGAGGGCAGGGTTGGGTTCATGCTACTGAATCTGGGGGTAATATCCAACCGTGTAGGCCCCATGACTTGTTCTGTACCGTGAAATGACCAGGCTGTTCATAGTCTCATTAATGCGCCCATGGTGAATACTCCGCGGAGTTCACGGCAGGCGGTATTGAGTAACCAAACTTTGCACTTTACACCAAGAGAAGATTATAAATTATCTGTGTATGTATTCAGTTGACTTCTTTTTCAACAGTGTGTCAGCCAATACCAATCCCGTGCTGAACCATAAAAAGGCGAGTACTTTTGTCAACAACACATGGTTTTATCTATTTTAAACAATGATTTTCTGACTTTTCTTGCTAATACTGTTTTATCCTTCTTTGTCTCTAGACGCTGGAGTTCAATCAAGTCACGCGCAAACTCATAGCCGAGTTTAAGAACTTGGTAAGGATATTTAAGCTTACTACCACGGGTAAAATCGTAATCGCATTTTTTATACGTCAGACTTTCTGTTCACACTAAACAGACGACCACAAATTCGAAAACTCCAGTGTAGTTGGAGGACACTTGTATACAGCTAGCAGTCAACGCCAATACAAACTACTTCATGATCCTACTTTTGTATCTACGTATTCAGAGATCACAGGGCAGTTAGCATTTTCCCGCCATTTATAATGCTTGTGTTAATTTTTAAACAATGTAGAGATCGCGTATTCAGTAACACGCAAAGCGCGCTTGTCTCTTAATAATAATAATGATAATAATAATGATAACAACAACAACAACAACAACAACAATAATAATAATGGCTTTATTCAGCAAATCCATTAGGTGGCTCTTCATCTTCTTGACTAGTATTTGTCGCGCGAGATACACCACGTAATCTGTCAGACAAGGTCTTTTGTTCTAATTGCTATTTTTGTCATTTAGTCACTAACCAAAGCAACAAGACAAGGCGGCAAGAACAAAGAAGTGGTTACAGAAGAAAAATCTGCGCTCGTTTTTACTACGCAGATCACCCTTGGAAAGGAGCAGTTTAATATTTGGGTGAGGATAGTGGTGACTGCTTTGCAATACCAGCAAAAGAACTTTATAGTGTGCATGTGAAATCTTTAATAGGGCGCTCTACAACAATATAGCTGTCAAATGGTCGGGTCATGTGAGGCCTGTCTAATCCGTGTTGAGATTGATTAAGCTGACGGTGGTCAGTGTTCCTCCGATCCCCTGATAATCAAAATTCATCGTCGTGTGTAATAGGTGCGGTCACACTAGCGCTTTTACCCATGGGCAAATGGCTGTTGCCCATAGGGAAGCAACTACTTGTGTGTGACCGATTTACCCCAAGGTGAAATTGCCTCGGGGAAATTACCATAGATACGTCAAAAAAAAAACAAAAGAGTTAACAATGACAGTTCCCGAGGTATGAAGTTCTAAAGCGGCTCAGTAATTCACGAGAAAGTGAAATGTACCAAACAGTATAAATCAGGTGTTGTTTACGTGTTGTATTCGCCTTGGCGCCAAATCCTACGCGAAACAGCACTCAAAGTTCTAAAACTCAGCAGATTTTGCTTTGAAAATTGGTACGCGGTTTAATAAATTCAAAAGGACCTTGAAACACTCCCAATTTTGAGGTCGCTGCAGCCATTTTTTAAACCATTACTTTCGACTTTTGACGGAAGATTCACCTTTCTTTTTTTAACCCGAATGAAGTCGGCGTATTCGTTTTTGGTCTTAAAATTAAGGTGTGACTCCCTTTTGCTAAGCTACATTGATGTGGTTTTATTAAAAGGTGAAATTAAAAAGAATTGACTGAAACCGCTTACGATTTCTGTCATCCTTAAACGTTTACAACGAGGTTCCCGCGAAACCGCGTGGGTTCAAGTTTTTTCTTTCCCTTGGGCAATTTGTTGCTGTGTGACCGCAAATATGAAAAAAACCCAGAGTGAACTCAACCCAAGCTATTTCCTCATTGGGAGCCTTTGGGAAGACGTCCAGTTTGACCGCGCCTAATATATCAGATATATTTTGTCTTTTTGTACGTGTTCAGGTAATGTCAGTTCCAGTGGTTGTCACAGTGCACGGTAATCAACAGTGTGACGCCGAAGCCACCATCTTCTGGGAAAACGCTTTTTCTGAAAAGGTTTGTCACATACCTGAACACATCCAACTAACATCCGAGAAAGCTACAGGGTGGTTACAGTTGCCTGACAGTAACGGCAAATTGTTCTTAATTTCCACTCATCGATCTTTGCCCCGATTTTTACGAGTACAACTATTTTCGTACGATGTGAAGAATTATGCAGCTCGAGAAGGATGTTATCCACCTCAGCTGAAGGCCGAGGTGGACAACATCCTCCGAGATCTACATAATTCTTCACATCATACGAAAGCCGATTGCCCATGCGGCCTCGTTTCCAATCCAATATACCATCGATCAACCTCGTTTCCAAATAAATATACCATCAATGGAAAATTGCTCTCATCTTCCAAATTTGGTCAGCGGCGCCGTTTTATTATAAAGAATTAGACGAGGGCTTTGAGCCAAACAGAAACGGCGAAATATTTTGAATGAATAATTATTAATAATCCAAATTTTTAAATACCATCAAAGGCAACCTAAGAAGGAGCTTAAGCGAAGCAGTTTTTACTGAATCAGTTACGTTAAACTTTTCATTTTCCTGTTACTTCAATAAAGCAAAAGAATTTGATAAGGTTTTAGGCGAGATTCTACTTGTATAGTTAACCTTTATTGGGTTACCTCCCATGCAGTTTCATGAAGTTAATTTGTTTTATTTAGGAAAGGAAGTTATTTGATGTCCCAGATCAGATTGAGTGGCCTCGTCTTGCTGATGCTCTGAACAAACGATGGGTGCTTAGCAACGGCCGCGAACTCACACCAGACTGCGTTGCTTATTTGGGAACCAAACTTTTTCCAGGTAAAATCCTCCGGTCATTACTACAGCGTATCTGCTTTCCTTTTATTCAATGAAAGGTCGCAATATTCATTACCCACTTTTCTATCTTTTTGCTTTTGTTTTTGGTTTTTGTGAAAGCACTGTTCCAAGCATTTCTGAAGTAATAATTTGAACTACAAGCGAATTTTTTGGCCAATGAGAAGAGAAGGGTCTAACTCTGATTAGTGTTTGTTTTGATTGGGTCACCAGATGTCTGGTGGAGTAAAGCCTTTCGTGTAAACAAAGTACATACTGTGCAAGAAACATTAACGCTGCTTTTCATTTCTCTCCAGGGAAAATGGAGGGAGGATTAGACAACGCCATGGTGACAAGGCAAATGTTAAACAGAGTGAGCATTGTTTATGGTTTTTATCTACATGTTTGAAATTTCACGTTCAATTTTTTTTTATGGTGGATGTGAAGAGGGAATAAAGTGCATCTTAAAGGCAAATTATATCCACGGAACAAAGTTATTTATTGCTTGAAACAAAAGAGCGTAAATTACGCAGCATTATCTCTGCCCTAAACTGGCTTTTCGCTTTTGCTCATCAGGATCACATGAATGGCCGCTCATTCTCTTTTTGGAAGTGGTATTATGGAGCTTTGGATGTAGTCTACAGACGATTGGTGGACGAATGGAGAGATGGGTAAGTAACATCCGAAGCTAAGCGGCTTGAAGTTATCACGAGTTTTTTCCTCTTTGATATCATTCATAACTTGGGTCCTCACTATGTGACGCACATTTTGCATACTTCTCAAAAACTTGCTATTTTCCTCTGCTCCTTGAACGCTTAAAACCTTTTGAATAAGCATGAGTTTGGTTTGATTCTAAGTTATGCTGCATTTATAAAGTTGTTTTCCTTGTGGTTAATTCCGAGACCTCACTTAACACCAGCTCAAAAATGAAATTATACGGACATTGTTGTGTCCGTTGAGGGATACTTCATTTGGGTTGCGTTCCTTTGAGATTACTGGGATCAGGATTTGTGAACCAAGATGACTCAGATCATGGTTGATCAGGGGAACCAATGAATCCTCGTCCAGCTGGGGTGTAGCAGTTCCATTTGATGCACCATTATCCAAGTGACGTTGAGTCATAAATCCTGATCCACATCATCCCAAAGCAAATTCCTTATGCTAAAAGACTGGATTATTTTTTCATTTGCGTCTGATTCCGTGTATAACAATATATTTAAGCAGGGATCCCATAAAAAACCTACCAATCTAAACGAGTTACTTATTTGACTGTGTAGGCACGTGGCTGGTTTTGTCAGCAAACAGGAGGCACATGCCAGGCTCAGAGGGTGTAATCCTGGTACATTTATACTCCGCTTCAGTGACAGTGAGCTGGGTGGTGTCAGTGTTGCTTATGTTTCTATGATTGAGACTGGTGAGTCCTGTGTTTACTTGAATACAAATAAATGTTCGTAACAGAAATAAATACACCAGAACTCTGAGTTGATAGGCCGGATTCGAGTTATTAACATTCATACTTGGCGCCGATGCTAATGGTTATGAAACGAAAGAAATTGCATAGTTTATTCCTTTTGTTTTATTCCCTTTCAACTTAAAACAATCAAACAACAACAGAAGGCTTTTAAAAGGGTTGTTATCAATTGAAATTTGAAACACTCGTTACGCGCAGAAATTCCCGCCAAAGATGTTAGCCTGCTAGTTTTTGCGTGCGCATATTTTTCAGTTTTTTATATCACGCTGTCTTGTAAAAGACCTGGGGTCAATTTAATAAAGCTTTTACATAATTGTGTAATTTACATGTTACACTGAATTTACACTGAATTTTTTGTAAAATTGACCTCTGATCATCTTACTTAAGTTGCCCACCTGAAACGCTGCGTCGTGTCCTTAGCTTCGAGGGAAGTATGAGTTTTGGTAATACGAAACTGGCCTATTAAGTGTAGCCCATTCGGACGAGCAGAGTTAGCAAAATAGCTGCCCTTTAGTTTTGCCGAGATATGTCAGTCATGATCTCGAGCAATGATGTTTGCTCTCTCTCATCTCCGTACCTCTCCTCATCTGCTCAACAAAGGTCGTACAGCTTCTGCTTAGTCCAGTATCTTAACATAAGTTGGCTTCCATTGTTTTCTTCTTTATGCAGGTTGAATAGTGGATGTAAGAAAACGGGAGAGAGGTTTGCTTGTCAGAATATACTTAACTAGTTCTTCTGTTTTCCAGGTCAGTGTGAGGTGTTTGATGTCGAGCCTTGGACAAACGCTCATTTGCAAATGCGAAAGTTTTCTGACCGGCTCAAAGACTTAAGGGAGCTTGTTTATCTTTATCCAAACATAGATAAGGACGCCGCTTTCAGCCAATACTACACCAATGACGGTAAGTATATTTATCCGTTTGCAAGATAATTGGCTTTCAGCAACCCAGCCATAGGTAACTCATGTTTCAAGGCATCGGGAAGGGTGGAAAGTTCACAATGCCGGATAGGAGTGTAATAAGCAATGACATTTCAGCCTGTTCTTTCCCCGGGCCGACAATTCTCCTTTTGATCAAGAATGCATGGGTTAGTTTTGTACTCATGTACGTAGTGGTCAAATTAGTTGAAGTTTTGTTTTCCTTTGCTTCAAACTCGGTTATCTTACATTACCCTAGCCAAAAACAAAGAGGAAATAAAATTTAAAAAACGATAAATTAGAACCACAACTTATAGAATGTGCTCCACGTTGTCATTGTCATTTCTGAAGGTGGTTGCATTGATAGTTGTGTCTAAGCTTGTTTTTTTCTCCCATGAATGAAATGCGAAATTTATTAGTTGGACCTTAGTGGTGTGAACCCTCTGAAGGAGTTGCATTTTTCTTTACATAGAAAACGTTTCCGCCGAAGGACGCACAGGATACCAACCAGCAGTTTTGGCCTTAAGACTGGTCGGGTAGGTACCCTGTATGCGACGGTAACTTCTAGTCACGTTTATAACGGTATAAGCCAAGGGTGAGAAATCGAAAAGGGCCCGCTGTATGAATGAAGAACGTCAGGAACAGGGCAATATATAACTTTAGACTTTTCAATATACACCGTACTTGCAATGTCGGTGTCACACTATTCAAATCACCTGCTATAATGGTTACACAAGCGAAAATTTTAATCCAGTTTATGGATCTAGTACTTTTGTCGCTTCAAGTCGCGGCGCATGCTCTTCGTGTTTTCGCTTTATATAGATGCAGGAAACTGATGAGCATAAGGTGTCCTTCGTTCACAACAATAACAAAAAAGAGGAAGGAAAAGACGGAGAAAGTAGTGTTGTGGCATGCTTTTGTCCCTGTTGGTGACATTTATGAATTGTTTGTTGTCTGTTTTCTTCAGTAATCCTGGCGGCAGAAGTCCCATGCACCAGGGATCACAAGATGGTAGCATGGTAAGTATTTTTTGTTGTTGTTGAATGTTTTGTCTATTTATTTTGTATTAGAAGTAATAACGGTGTCTTGCTTGTCTAATTTCCGTAGTAATTTCTTTTTTCGTTGCCTAGGAAACTCCGTCAACAAGCTCGTTTCCAGTTACTGGTTTTCCAGATATATCTTATGGTGGTGGCTTGTATCCAGGCTCCCCCGCTTCTCCAGCTTCGCCCCAGTCTGTCGCCTCTACCGTTCTAGATACTGACCTTGGTTTGGCAAACCAGGAAATTGTGGGCGACTTTGGTCAGCTGGCGTCAGAACTCGCTTTGAGTAACGTGTTTCTTAGCGGTCTTCACCAGGGAATTAACCCTGGTCCTGCCAGTTATCTATCTGCAATGGCAGCGGCCATGGGTGATGACTGCTTTGCAGATCTTTTGCTCTCAGATGACGTTAATGCCGCGCAGCCGCAGTAGAGGCTAGTTTTGAACCTTGGAGACAGTCGAGCAAAGAAGTCACCGTTTCTTGCGCATGTAACTGACACCATATATCTGCCAACCGGTAAATTTAGTGAAAACATTTAAAAGTCAGCTGGGAGTGCGTTCGATCGATCAAAAATAAGAATCAGTTTTCAGAGAAATGTTATGGAATGAAATAATAGATACATCTTAATATCTGAATAATGTATGTGAGGCAGTTGTGGAGGTTTCATGGAGAAATGGATACCTCAATATGTTAATTCCATTTATTCAATTTTCGGACCACAGTTAATTGAACGCGTCTCAGATCGAAACGGCGCTTTTTTCCTCGACTGACAGTACAAAGGTTTCGTATGATTAAGCGGTCTCTTATTCGTAATGGCTTCGTTTTACAGCGACAATGGAGTTTATTTACTTTTTTCTGGACCTGAATGTTTCATGCAGGGGAAAACCTTAATGGTTCGGTCTAAAAAGTCATCCCGCGAAAAACAGGCCAAGATATGCGGCTCATATTCGTCTCAAGTTTACGTATCGTTAGCGAGAAGCAAGTGAGACGTCCAGGGGACGTAAGAGATCCCTTTGTACACGGGGCGATTCTTCAACCCGTGCATTTAGTGAGTGACAATAGAGAGAGAAATTATAGTCCAGACTTGGATTGTAATTATTTATCATAGTCTCTAGTGGGACTAGCCAAGAAAATATTAAAGTCTTTATTTTGCGCATGTTTAGTATTTCACGATTCAATATAGTGTCTAAAAAGTTTCTTAACTTAAAAGGAAAAGTTCATATTTGAAGGTCTTTCAAATTTTAGTACAAAATTTGACGTCGTTACCAGCGGATTCACTAGCGACCCAGTCGGCGCGCTTCAGTCTTCGTGCTTAGTTTATCGCACACTGCAGTACAGAAAAGAATTTTGCCTCTCTTCCTACAAGGAGACTATTCTCATCTTGTTTCCAACCTTTGAATAGAATTCCGGAGGTTATTTTATCTTCTCCAAGGTTTAATAACTAGACCTTAGCTCATAGTTATTCATTAGCTGTGCTTCAGTGACAGATATAGATGTGTCAATTAAACAATTTGTTGTTAGCTTGGGTCCTCTTGCAAACCTATTTCCTGAAAAAGGTTTGTACCAGGCCATGCAAGGGCATTTCAGACCCTTTAAAACACGGCTTATTTCATGTTTTCATGTGTCTGTTTAGAACATCTTTTTTCTTTTCATTTGAATAATTTCAAGGTTTTATGTTACCTGTTTTAAAGAGCGACAGTACTTTCTTCACGTTGTTCTGTTTTCTGTCGACATTCTGATGCTCAGAATCCTCATTGTCTCTCAGAAAACCTTTTTTTTCCGGAACAGAACCTCATAGAGGCCGATTTTTTTTTAACAGTGCTTACCTACCTACTAGAAATTCATGCCGAGAGTTTGTTTGGGAGAGTTCGTTAAGATGTCCCTTTCATTAGAAAGTTATTTTTGCGACGTCCCATGCGAGACTATTTGGACAAAAGGCAAAATTTTGTAACTGAAAAATTCCTGTAGGAAGGTATCGTGAACTTTCGTCATTGGACTAAACCTTTTCAGGTGCTATAAATACCGTAGTCAAAGTTCAACAACGAACCTTTGGGAAACGTTACTAGGCTGGTGGGCTTTTCTAGGCGTCGTTCAGGCGATAAACTGTCCATTTGCTTGTTATTTGTTACTCCTCCCTATTAGTTAAAAATGTGCTTAGCAAATGTAAAAAGCGCGGGAATGTAAACATATATCAGGGCTGTTGATTGTAAAATAAAAGAATCGGATACAAAGTGACTTTGTTAAAATTTAGGTGGTTAGTGTCGTAGTGCAGTTGTTAAAGCTTATCTTATGCAAAAAAATTGTTCTTTCCTAAGGAGAGAGTAGATTCGTCGTCTTGTATGAAAATAATGTAGTAATTAGCGATTAAACAAACTGAAGATATAAATTTTGCTTCTTCGGATCTTAATGTAAAGTGCCCTTCTCTATCTTGCAATGAAGAGCACTCTACCAGGTGGACTGCGAATTCATGCAGAGGTACGCGTGACAGTTGATTTTGTTGCCAAACGTTAACGACTTTTGTCTCTAAGAATGTGAAGTTGTACTGCATTGCGCAAAGGGAAAGTTTTTTCCCACTGTTTGTGAGATCTCTGGTGTTCAGACGACGCTACTTGCTCAAAGAACTGAACTTGGAGCTTTATAAACAGAGACTACCGTTGGCGGTGAATGCCCGACCTCGCAGCTCAGCTTTGTAAAACGGTCAAGACTCCAGAATTTGGAAAATTAGCAAATCGACAACAATTTTCCATGGTCTGTACTCTTATCGAACCTAGAAATGACGTCAAATTGTTCAAAACTCAAGTGGAAGGCGAGTGGATTCGCTGCAAAGTTTTGAACATTTTGACGTCGTTTCTGTGTTCGATAAGAGAAAATTCTTGTCGATTTGTTTTTTACAATAACGTTGACAATTTTTGGCGACCATTTCCGTTCATGTGAAAACCAAATTGCGCCACTGACCATGTTTCTCGATCAATCAGCGAACGAAATCGCTCAGGTATTGTAAAATGTTAAATTTGTGACTTTAGAAGTCAAAAATTCTCTTTACCATTTCTTTCTCGCTGGCAGACTGTTTTAGGGCCGGATATACTGCCAAAATTATTGATTCCCATAATTCGAAACGAGCTCACAAGGGTGTAAGGAATAGAAGAGAGTTGAATGGCTGACCCAAGTTGTTCGAAAGTTGGATAATGCTATCCATTGGATAGATCACTTATATCTACTGAATATCGCAATTGGCTTTCGTAATACTTATCCACTGGATAGCGATTAATGGTCATTCATCCTGTGGATAGCGCTATGCAACTTTTGAACAACCGGTCCCAGACAAATAGCCTTTTTTGGCTCTATAAACAATGCTTGAGGTAAACAATGATATGAAGATAGCTCAGTCAGTACGAGGAGTGACTGTCAAGGTGAAATCAGATTGTTATCAACATTATTTTGGATACCGCTCACAGAGAAGTTTTTCTTTACGTTTTTTTTCTCTCTTTTGGTGCCCTATTTTCAATTTTCTTTTTTATTTTAAACAACACACTGGTTAATTTAAACCACCTGAACCCAGGTCTTTCGGCTCAGTCATCTCTGTAAGCAACGTAAGATGAACCGAACCTAAGATAGGGCTCAGGGAATGTGAGCATGCTTGAGGTACTGGCCAGACCGTGGGTTGGGGTACGTGTGTTATCGCTTGCTCTTTTAAATTTGTATCATTTAGAATTGGACTAGAAATACGTGAATCGCAGGACCTCGCGTAGCACTTCGGGGGAATGAAGGCAAGTAGTAGGAAGAAGATTTACATATTTAAAAAACTTACGCTATCTAAAAAACAAAACTAAACTACAATTACTAAAAAAAGCCAACAAAAAGGAAAAAAGAAAAGAAAAGAAGGCAAAAAGAAAAACAGCTTCCTTCCGGAATCGAACTCGGGACCTTGTACGTGCCGGGCCGTTTCATTACCATTACACCACATGTTCCTTGACAACATACACTAGATGACGTCTGGGCGGACACCAGGCGTTGTATAGATTCATAAATAAATAGAAATATGGGGCCTCTGAGTTTGCAGCTGGCTAAGACCGCGACGCGCAAGGAATTAAAACATTCAGGTGTAAAAGTGTTATTAATAGGTCGTTTATGTTCCCACGGCTCCTTTAACCAGGAAGTATGGCAACAATTCTGGCAATATTCTACTTAGGACAATGTAAACAAAGGATTATTTTGATTAACTACCCTATTAAAAAATGGTATTCAATCAATTACAAAAAAATTAACTCAAAACACTCAATTGCAGAACGTACATAGATCCGACTAAGAGCGAGAGTTTTCACACCAACTTCCTGTCCTCTTTCCTTGTGTCAAGTATTGGCTAACCTAATCTGGTTCCCAGATCTCCCACGGGCAAACGACAAAGTGATATCTTGGTTCGAGATAAGTGCTAGCCAACAACGGGTAAGAATTATCGTTCTCTGTTCTCAGTTTACTCTCAAATTAAGATTCCTTCATGTAGTCAAATCTTAAGGTCAGTATTATTCCACGAACAGCATTGTCCAGGCTGCTGTTAATAGAAGTCATCGTAATAAGCGTCGTCATCTTCATCCACTCTATCCTCTTGAAACGAATGCTCTGACCGAGTATTCACTTCCTTAGACCATCGAAAACAAGTGAAACATTCCATATTGTTTAGACAGACGAATAGGCTTAAATCCACAAGACTTACTACGCCAAATATGAGAAAGGAGGTCGTGGCGCCAGCGTAAGTGATTAACAATCCCCCAACTACCCCTCCCCCACCATTGCCTAGACCCCAGTGCACTCCTCCAAGAATTCCTTGCATAGTTGCGGGTGCCCCGGGGATGAGTCCCACGAAGACAACAGCCGCTGACCATACTGCAGCCGTCGACAAGCCGTGAAGAATTTCAAAAGGTAAAACTATCCAGCTATTGGTAATAAAAGCGTAACCAAAGAAACGAATAATGTAGCATGATAGACCAACGTATAGCACTTGATGATGCCCAATCCATTTGATAAAATATCCAGAGAAACAGTAAACCATTACTTCTGAAATGCAGTGTATTGCTGTTATGATGCTAAACAAGAGTTGTGAACCCCCTAAATCTTGCAAGTGCCAAAAGAGAAATGTTTGTATGAACCCCAAAGCACTTCCACACAGCAGGATCGTCCAAATAAAGTAAATGTACCGACAGTCGAAAAGCATTACAAGTCCCTGCCATATGCCTTCTTCTTGCGATTTTTTCTCATCAAATTCAAATAAAGCTCCTATTAATAATGCCACACCCATGAGGCACGCAAAAACATAAAAACAAGGCAGGTAGTTAACGCTCAAAGGATTGTTACAGTTATTGATTTCTTCAATTGTACTAATACTTGCCCCAACAACAAATGCCGCCAGTCCCCAACCAAATGCACCCCACAGACGCTGTTTACCGTAATCCTCTTGCCGGTTGCCTAGTAATCAATAAAATCGTCTGTAAGAAACGTCTTAGTACGAGAGGTAGGCAGGCTCACGGTGCAATATTGCGCGCAATACATTTCAAAATGCCTCTGAAAAAATTTAGAATATTTTGTAGCAGTAATCAAGGGTTAACGCTGAAATAATGCGTAAGTTCAATTGGCTGCTCTTCATTTTTACAGTTCCATAGATTGTCATCGATTTTTTTCTGACTATTCTTTATTATAATGGTCTTCAGAAATAAATTCTTGAATTGGTGAAACGAAGAGCGCATATTAAAAAGAATTAGTCGCGTTAACTTTTTCTAATCTTTTGTGATTAGCTCATCAGTACTGAGTTTCCAACTATTAAAAATATATATCGCACTAGTTGAGAAACTTACCCAGATTTTGCAATGTTGCAGTGTCAGCCAATGTGGTGGCTGGTGCAGCTATCAATTCTCCAGTAGCAGTTATAACAAAGAGAATCATGAACAAATGTTCATCAGTTGGTTTTTTCCAGTCGTATGAGGCCTGTGTTGAGTCATAGTTAGCCACAGTATCAAGAGGCCATGGGTATTCACCGACCATGTTAAGAAAATCAAACAGTTTCTCTATCCTTTCTCTTTTGATCTGACTGGACAACTCGTCAATGTTTATATCGCTTAAATTATGAAAACGTTTTAAGAAATCAGTTTTGAAAATAATGTCGTTACTTGCAGGCATGCTACGTTTTTTATTATGAGTTGGCATGGAAGCCTTGAATTTTGGCTTGGTTAGTTTTCCTTCTGCCATGGTGAACAATTTAGAGTTCTCGATATTAGGTGTGGCCATTGTTTTTGAGTTAATATGTTTTAATGTTCTGGATAATTGCTTTCGGTCATTTTTACCACCAACTTCGATCATTATTGAATCAGGTGCTCCCAAGTTCAATACATCATGACCTGGGGTGTTTTGATTATTCTCGACTAGACGCCGAGAACGTTTACTTTGATCTTGACCATTCTGTTTAGAAATGATTGTTTTATCTGATGACTGGCTTGCTGTTACATTTCCTACAATTTCAAACCATTGTTCACTGGAAACTCCTGGATTAACAACAACAGGTTTTCGTAGCTTCTGATGAATGACAGAGGTCGAGTTTTTTACTTGAATATTATTCTCGATGATTTCTGCGATAATTTCCATTGTTCCGTTGTCTTTGCAATCGCCTAAATGAAACACGGGAGATACCAGAGATAAGGAATAGTTAGACACAAGCCAAGAGACCAATGACATGATAAAAATAACTTTGCTTCTCTTGTACGTATCAGCTATTACTCCCCACATGGGCGTTACCAAGAGCTGTATCAGGGGCCTGATTCCAATTAATATTCCAGTTTCGTGTGCGGAAAGCCATAGCTGTTTATAAAATACCGCAAGGTAGGGAAATAGAGAGCCTAAAGCTGAGAAAAAGAAGAAATAAAAACCTTTATGAATGACAAGGCGTCGATTTACATTTGGAAAACATTTTGAATAAAGTTCGCCTTCTTCATTCCTCCTTGACTCATGTTTCTTTAAACTTTTTTCGCGATTAGTTTGATCTGACAAAACATTGCCTTCGAAATCGCTGTTGGTGACATTGTTAGTATTGCGAAGCATAAGCGCCAAGCCATACAATTCATCCTCGCTATCCTCCTCAGTAGAGAGTGAAACTTCTTTCTCCCCAATGTTATCTCTTGTAGCGCCTGTTTCAAAAACGCTTTCAGCATTAGTTTCCTCTCTCGAATGATGAAGATTCAGTACTGAGTCGGTTTTGTTTCTGATCATATTTCAACCTAACAAACACCCGTCAACAGTTTTGAGACAGGTTGCTGGTACCAGCCTCTAGATATTCTTGAAGCAACTGTGAAGTAACCTGTATGTGCAAATAGTTCGGGTCTTAAGCTATTGTTCGCAGACGTTTCGCGTAATCATATAATTTCCAGTCAGCCAAACTCTGTTGTGGCAGTTTATTTTAGACTTTAAATTTTCACGACCTTTATGCTTGTATAAATTTCTTGATCCTTTGATTTCCCCTTACTAATTATAAGCAAAAAGATCGTCCAGTCTAAGATCAGGCTTCTGCTTCTCCACGTTGGTCACTTAAGCCACAAAAATAATTATAGTGATGTTTTATTGAGCACCAAAGGGTACTTGGATCAGCATTTGTTGTTATAAACCAGCATTCTTATACACTAGGGTGAGAAACCTTTGTCACTCCATAAAATCATAAATCATGAACGATGACGATGTGGGACTGAAGGTACAATTACTGCATTTGTACAATTAGAGAGTCTCGGTCGAGCAGGCGATTATTCTAATTCCGTTATAGGATAAGTGTACTACTCGTAAAACAAAGCGTGTCTTAAGTATGTGTCCTGGGAATAGCGTTAAGAGGGTTGTATGGCTTCACCAAGCCCTTGGTTCAAAACCACAGCCATAACACTGATGAACTAAAGGTTATCAGTCTGTTACCATACATTGTCGGCATATGAGTCGAGGGGTGCATGAGGTGATCAGAGTACTTCAAATTTGCGATGCTTAAAATAAACTGGCACCCATAAATCCACTCAGTTTTATAATTTGTGGTTTATCCTTTTCAAGTGAAAACGATCCAGTTTTTAGCCAAGCGTTTATCACGTGCTTATTAGCAACACATCGATAGACAGCAATTAACGCTAAAAGCTTTACCAAGGAAATAGAGCCGAGCTCTTGATTGAAACCGTTTCTTCGGGACAGATCTGTTTCTAGAGATGAAAATAGTAGAACTTAGCAGTGGCGAATCCAGACCTTCAGATAAGGGGGGGCGGTTTTAAAAAACATTTTTTTCGGCCCTGGTCCAAAAATAGGGCGGACTGCCCCCTCGGGCCCCTTCCCTCCCCTGGATCCGCTACTGCGGAGCGGTGAAAAAGCTATTTCAATTTCAAAATGATTTCGAGCATGCGCTTAACAGTTAATAGTACAATACCATTATAACAGGTGCACAAAAATATGGGGCGTTACTCGCAGTTTGGCGCAATCCGCCGCTCAAGCTCATGCGTCTTCTACAAACATATAACAATAATTTAGCATTCTAAGTAGAATTTCATTAATCACAAACAGGTAAAATGCGTACTCTACTCTCAAGATCAAAGAACAAGTAGCAGATAGTTCTAGAAACAGAAAGAGGTGATTTCAGTTCAATCGAAATCCTCCCTTTCAATATGAGACAAGATAGGAAAAAACATGTGACACAATGTTTGGTGCTTGCATAAAAGGAAAATCTAACTAATATCGTTTGTCTGTCCATTGTTTCTTGTTTGCGGATATTTATTCACTGCCAAACGCTACAGTGTTACTGTTTCCATAAATAATCATACTGGTTGCCTATCTTCTAAATGAAATCATGACCTAATTTTGTTTATCACTGGGCTTGCAGTTCCTCTTTCCTCTAAGTGCCTATAACATATAAAGACAACTTTCTAGTTACGCAGCCAAAAATCGATCCAGTGTACCAAAACGATTGATTAAGGCGAATCTAAAAATGAATATTAAGTCTCATATTGATCATTCTGAGTTTGGTTCTCAGTTTGAGCTTTAAAAGATACTAGATGTTTAGACTCTTACCCGGATTGTTTTGTCTTCGCCGGCAAGATAATATAGATTGCATCTAATCAGTAAAAACCCAACAGTCCTCTCAGAAGATTAAATAAAGTTGTTGAAATAAACGTAAATTAAAGCGGCCAGGAGTTCTTAGGTTCAAACTCGTAAAACGTTTATATGACCACATGATCTCATTTCAATCTATATTCTTCATCATTTCTAAATCTGAAAGTAAATTTTCTACTGGGGCGTATGCCATAACGCTGTCTCAAGTGAGGAGTGAAGCTCTCAATGCTCTGGACGAAATAAGACTGAATTACACGGGAAAATATAGCAAAAAACTGTAAATATCGACGCAAACCGAATTGATAACCGAAAAACAAGGTTAGCGGTATTTAGTTATTCATAGATCTGCCAAAATGTGACAACCGGATGCTAGGAGGATGGTAAAAATTCGATGGCATGACTGTGGATCGCCCGTGAAGATACTTAGTTTCTCTTGACTGGGTGAGTAGAAAGTAGTTTTTGTAGTTTTGAGTTTATAACAACGTTCTAAAAAGATACTGGCTAATACAGGTGTTTGGTTTAGAATTGATACTTGTTAAACCAGACAACCGTAAGAGTTTTACAATTTTGCCTACCTGTTATTATGACTATAACTCAAACAAATGCTTGACAAAATTATTACCGGATCCAGTGAAGCGATTAACTTAACATTAAACATAAGGAATAGATCTTCATCATAGAAATAAAGAATCAATTCAGTGGGTTAGCGTAACGATAAGATTTGGTTCAATTCAACACTCATCGTCTCATTTCGAACGCTTTATTAATTTACTTGCTTTCTTCAACCCTAAATTTTAGTCATCGAAAACTTTCTTTAGTTTAATCTTTCTATCTAATTTTACCAACATATTTTATTATTCCGACCACGCCCATCATTTAAAGTAAAAATTAGTTTAAGAAAACCAGTAAGGAACTCCTAACAACTGAACTGATTTGAACCAGTCATTGCATGGGCGGTTTTTAATCAAGGTCGAGTTAAGTGTCATCAGCCTCAGCCATCTGCCCCGGGAGATAACACTTACGTCGACCTTGATTATTCCGGACATCACAAAACTGAATCTAATGATTGTCTTTATTATACACTGTTTTAAAGAAAAAATAACGACAAACACACCTTTGCACAGAACATAGTTTGACATTGCTCTTGGAAATCATGCATTGCGCGCGCCATGCGACAGATTAGTCATTAATCTGCTTGCAGATAACTGACCAATCTGTAGGTTGCGCTGATTTCCAAAATTAGTTGTAGGCTACTAGCCAATGACAAGACATATAAGGTCGTGTTATGTTGGCTTAAACTGCAGCAGACGGCAAATTATTAAACTGAAAATTGAAAGCGAAAGTCTTTTCACTTTCAGAAAAAGCTTCTCTGTACTCAGTCTATGATATTATATTTTTTTAATCATTTTTCACCTCGTATGTTTAGCCAGTATAGTCCTTCAATGGTTGGAGAACAAGGAAATCGGACCTCAGAGACCAGATCAGCCACGCCGCCTCAAAGTTACTGGTGGAAAAGAATTCAACATTCCAACACAAGACTGCAAGAAACCAGCGGCAGCCTGAACTGTGCAGAGAAATTTACTTCACTGGTGTCTTGTCACCGTGGCTATGGTTCCGTGGCGTTTTACGCCGTATTTTCGTTGTTCATTTTGACGTTTCTTTACGCTATTTGGAAAATCGTCAGCGCACACTCTCGCTCTGGGAGGAGACCCGGGTCTGGTAACTCGACAACAGTCGCCAAGTTAAGCCCCACGGCGCATGCCCCAACAACCTATCTCAATACATACGCATGGCTGCACAAAGAGAATATCGTGACCCATTTTAACCCCAGTCTAAAGAGTAGTTATTCTCCGCTTGATAACCCAACCGCAGTGAACTTATATCCTCCAGAGAGACAAAAGCATAGCAAAGTTCCTTCCGTTACCGATAAGGATTTTCCAACAAGAGGACGTGCCATTCTTGACAATACATCTCCCACTTGGAGATCGCCCAGCAGGGCGACAGAACCGTTATATAACTATTATTCAGGACCGTATAAATCTATTCAACCAACGTCAAACAATCCGCCACCATATCCGACGCTACCATATCCGTCAGTTGTCAATCCGCTATTTCCCTCAGCGCAGTATCCCGAGGGTTTTAATCCTTATCCTCGACCACCATTCGTGAGTGATTTAAATAATAATCGAAGATTCCGATTCCAGTACGGACTTCCGACTTCCAGTCCTTTCAATTATAACAGTAATTCTCCAGGAATCTTCAATGAGAGGACTTCCATAATGCCTCCTGTGGCAAACACATCTAACATACCCACCGACTATTCTCTTCCAGTGGATAAAAACACGCTACCTCAAGGTTACTATGACAACAATTATTACAGAGTTGACCAGCTTCAAATCGAAGGTGCTCTACCAACTTCACCTTCTCCTCTCATTTCGTTTTTAAAGGAAACATCTGAGAACAATCATAACTCCAGGCCCAAAGCAAGAAAGAAAAGGAAGCGTATAACGGCTAAAAGAAAAATAAGAAGACATAAAAAAAGAAAGCAAAGTCAAATTCAAAACCATTTGAAGAATGTCAAAAACCGAAAAGCAAAGTATCACGTTAAGTTAATTAAATCTCATAGAAAGAAATTTCAGGAAAAATGGAGAAAGGTTCGCAAGCCACACCTGCGACAATACAAAAGAATGCGGCATTTTAGAGCACACTTTAAATCTGCACGAAGTAGAATACCCAGGTATCATCGCAAAGTAACACATATTAAGAAAAGTTTGCAGGTTAAAAATTCAAAAACCAGGCATCACGAAAAACCAAGGACACACCTACATCGAATTTATGACCATCACAGGAAAAAAGCTCATATTTATCATACTTATTCTCGTAGGCATCATAGAGTTTTAAATTTTAGACTTTACCGTCTTTATCGACGGCATCATTCCGTTCATGACGAAATTCGTGGTAAATGGAGTGTTAGCAGACATCGAGTCAGAACTTGCAAAATTGTCGATCAATTTTCAACAAGAGGCTTGGTCAAAATGACCAGAACTAAAGGAAAGAAGAGATATTTACAAACGCTGCTGATCTGCCGGCCTGTAAGACTAAAGATGAAAAAAGGAGTCCATCGACACAACTACCCTGTAAAATATGCACAACTGTGCCGCAAGAAATGGTTTGTCACCAAAGGATTCATTTTTGTTAACAGAGTTTCGAAAAGTCAAGAGTTTCCGAGATACAACGTGAAGATTTGTACTCCTTCGTATGCGCATGCTAATCAACTATTGTCAGCTAAAAACGAGGAGTCAAAAGTCTGGAACATTTCGAAGGAGGTGTTTCTTAAAATGAAGATGGAGGATGCGGAAAGCATGAATGCTAGAACGTCTTCTGTTACGGATGGGCATAAACACCATCCAAGGAAGAAAAAAGTGAAAAAGCACAGAAAAAGTAAGAGGAGGCACAAAATCTTGAAACGAAAAAACCAGCATCACAAAAAAAGAAGAAAGCACCTTAAACATAAAACTAAAGCTGGCAAACGTCTTAAGCTGCATGAAAAAGAAAGGCGAAAACTGGAAAAAGTACAGAAAAAACAAAACGTGCACCATAATCTAAGACCAAACAAAGCTTCAAAGAGAAAGAAAACTTTTAGAAAGTCAAAAGGAAGATACATGGATCCCGAGCATGATTTCTATGGTAAACTTTTGCACGTTTTAAAACTTGCTAAAATGTATGACAGGAAAAAAGCTAATAGGACGAAAGGTGACGATGTTTTCGATTCACTCGAAGCAGTTTTATTGCAAAATCAAACCACCACCAATGTTCCTTTGGGTAAAAAGAAACCAACTGTGAAACCAAGTACAATAAAAACTGTTACTACACCAAGTAAGCATCATCTAAACCACGAAAACTCGCAAAACAGCTCGACACGATATAACAAAGTACATAGCCAAGACAATATTCATCTAACCCACGAAAACTCGCAAAACAACTCAAAGAATAACAAAGGAGATAGCCAAGACAACATTCAGAGGCTGTTAGCAAAAATTCTTCCTGCCGTAATAAAGAACTTACATGGGGATGATGCGGTAAGCCATTTGACAAAAACCAAGGTAACAACGAAACCAACAATAAAGGTCACTACAATCCAGAAAAAAACACCTACTGCTCAGATGACGACATCGACTACTAAGTCGAGCAAAGATAACTTCGAGGAATTGATGAAAACATTTCTTCCCATTTTCCTTAAGAAAACCCAGAGCTTAAACAGTAAAGGCGTCAAACAGAAGCCCGAAAAGAAACAGGCGCCAGTTCAACCAAAACAGAGCCCTTCTGTCACGAGAAAGATGAAAGCAAAAATTGACTTGAAGACCCTGTTGTCGCGAATGGGGGTGGATAACTTGGTATCAGAAAGTCTTTCCAATAAAAATTTGGCGAAGACGGCAACGATCACAGCACAGCCAACAACAAAACCTACAAGCAAATTGATTGTGGCTCCTGTGAAGTCTACTGTTGTACCAAAGACGTCAATTCACCCTCCAATAACAAGGCTCAAACCAACATCTGCTGTAACCATAATCCAGCTTCCAGGGCAACTGAGACAACCCGATGTTAGCCACCAGCTAGATAGCTCAATGGATGCAAAACCAACTCTCTTGCAGACAAAAAAACCGGTTTCTTCGCCGCAAATGCCCTCTGTTTCCCTCTCAGCTCCTCCAGCCACACCTTCGTCTTCACTGCCACCAGTACCCACAGCACTATTTTCTCCCGTATCGCCTCCTGGATTATCGTCCCAGCCTGCCTTTTCTCCTCAAGTGAAAGGAGATAATACAAGCCCGTTCTCACCTCCAGTTAATTCAGATCCTTACTCAAGGAGCATATTATGTTTCGGTGACAGTTTAACCAGCGGATTTTATAATCATGGGAAGAATTTCCACCCCTACAGCCAAACACTTAGTCGGCTACTGAACTCTGACAGAAGGTTGAGGTATTACGTCAAGACGAGCGGGAAAGTTAGGGAAATGGCGCATGGCAGTATGGCAAGAAGATTACCACAAATACTGGGAAACAGCTCGCGATTTGACTGGGTCATCATTTTGGGTGGAACTAATGATGTAGCGCATGTCAAGAACTTTGGAGACGATGATTCATTCATGAATCAGCTGATAAATGTTTGGAAGCCGCGAATCGTGCGTGATATTGAAGTGCTCCACGAAACTGCCCACAAATACGGTGCTCGGACTATACTGCTTACTATTCCAGAAACAGCTTACGAGGCTTGGCCTAATTTTAAAACACTCTGGATCATGCGTAGAGGAATAAACCAAGACCTGAGAGAATACGCCCGCAGATCACAAGGAAATACGGTGCTGTGTGACCTGGCCCTTAAGCTACCAAGACATTCTATTTCGCCTCAGGCACAAGCTATCCTGTGGAATGATCATCTGCATCTCACACCTTATGGCTACGACAAAATGGCCGAAATAATCTACCAATGTTTAAAACCATATTTGAGTAAATAATACGTAATGTGCTATTATTTGATAACAAAAAACAGTGAGAAAGATTACACTGTATAGCGTCTCCTAGCGACTGAAATGAACTTATTATTTTGGTTCTTTTTTATTTACCTACTTGCCTGCCGTTTCTTTTTTTATACGAAGGAACGTTTAAAATTTTGTCATAACTTTTCACAAAAAGTTGTAAGCATTTTGTATTTAACATACCAATATTTTATATTGTATTATCGTTTTTACACCGCGAAGGCTTAGTTCGGTGATCAAAGTTTGTATTGATTCAGATTTATTAAATCCATGTTTAACTATAGTAAGATGTCAATATATACAATGTTAGTTTTTTTTACAATCTCTAAGTTTCTTACACTTTGTGTTACAAGACGGCAAAATTGCATGCGAAGGAAGCTGCCGGCACTTTCCTCTATCTTCGAACGCAAGCCGTTTTTATTAACTATCCCTGTGACACTACCACTGAAACACAGCCCAAGCTAAGATAGAAAAGGAGAAAGAAATGCCTACTCAATTTTGCGACACCTTTTTTGTTAGAAACCATTTCTACTCCTTTTCTTAAACACGCTTTGTACTATGATTTGTGCTATGGTTGTTCACAAATGAAAAGCAAAGTGCCTTAGCCTTGCGTTAGGGAGCCACTAAGATTTTTTAGTTGCCAGTTTTGCGGTTTTTGCACTGCCGATTATATTTAAAAATTAATTCTCGGACTCTTTCGATCTAGAGTGCGAAATAGCCCGTATTTTTCTGTAGATAAAGAAAGAGCACTGATATGGTCAAGCGAAAGTCCTAAAAGTAGGGTGAATACAGAGTATTAGAGGGAGGGGAAAGACGGGAGGCGCATTTTTTGTCTCGCCTCACACGACCGTCGTTTTCCTTCGCGTGATGAAAACCCAATCTTGAGAAAAAAAGGAGTGTTTTTCAGTCTAGGTTCTTTCATGACAGAGCAACCTGTTTCAGAAACTGCTGGGTAAGATATTTTGGGGGAGAATAAAGCTATAGATTTGTTAGAGAGATCCCATTTATCGGACATCTTAATACTATGTTTAAACATTAATCGACTTTAATAAAGTTATTGATTTAGAAGGGTGAAAAGAGTGAACGACACCTAGAGTCGGAAACATGAGAAATAATGAAACAAGGGAAAAAAATGATCATGGTTCCATGAAGTTCTTCTCAATATCGCTGACAAGTGAATTGTGTTACCTGCACCCATTTGATCCGTGCTCAATAACCATGTAGTTCACAAGTGTTGAGAATTAGTCAAGCGTCAAGTACCAGAACACACACTCACAAATCATAGCTAATAGATCGACAAACATGAACTTAATTTTCCATTTTAGACCCCTTTTTCTTTATGGCAATCAGCAGATAATTAATTGGACGGCGTTAATCGAACCTGATCTACTTGAAGGTCACACGGTAGAATTTGTTTTCAACGCTTCGAAAAATTGAGCAAACTGGTAATTATTCAACAACCCTTGAAGTACCGGAGGATTAGTACACTCAACATTCAAGACCTTCATGTTGTCCTCGCGAATGAAAAATCAGTTTTAAACCTGGTCTAGTTGAGTGAAAGTGATAAAGCAAAAATTCGTGTTAACTGTGCTGTGTACATGGAAAAAATTGAGAAAAACAAATGTTTTTCGATACTGGATAAACGAATATGGATATCCAAAGCATTTTACGCTTCGTTTTACGTAGCCATTGGGGCACTATTTCCGTATTTACCAGTGTACTTCAAACAGCTTAAATTATCCTATTATCAGAATGGAATACTTATTGGAATTCGCCCACTGATCCAGTTTTGTTTTACCCCCATTTGGGGAGCATGCGCGGATAAGTTCTCTAAAAGCAAGGCTATCTTGATGATGTCTGTCTTAGGTTGGTTGGCGTCGAATTTCTTATTGTTGTTAGTTCCCGTTAACAATGATCTTAAACTATGCGATGTTTTAAATCAAGTCCAAGAAGATAATATTTTATACAGGAAGAATCGCACGAGTTCACAAAAGAGTAACTTTCCTTCCTCAGCAGACATTAATAATAAACATGACACTACCCGTGATGAACATGTGAATAAACAGGAGTTTTTCTCAAGGGTGTCACCTTATCTTTACACTACCGTGCCATTCTTTCTAATCAATTTACGGGGTTTTAAGAGTGTTGGCAGTGCAATACCGCAAGATTTAAACCCAGCGATTGACCGTCAAGGAAAGCCAGAAGTGGACATTGGTAATTCTCAACCTTTAAATCAGCAGCCATTTCAGGATATGATTAACAGAATAGATGATAGTGATCAGCATGTAAGCTGTAACTCTAAAGAGTTCATATATCTCCTTCTTGTGACTGTGATTGGTACCATCATAGCTGCTCCTGCCCAGGCTCTTGCTGATACAGCAACCCTTCAAAGTCTTCATGGCGAAACGCAGAAGTATGGTCGAGTGCGTTTATGGGGATCTTTAGGATGGGGCATTGGTGGTTTTTCCGTTGGTGCTGCAGTTAGCACAAATTATCAGACAAATCATTGTGGCGAGTCTGAGATTGATTACAGTCCATGCTTTTACGTTTATGCAGCGAGTATGGGCGTTGCTTTTCTCTGCGCAAGTCAGCTTGAATTTGATCAAACTCAAGATTCTCCTGTTATACTTGAAACAGATAATTCAAAATCAAACAAAATAATCCAAGGTCTCAAGGTATTCCGTAGCCCTCAGTTTTGTTTTGTTATTTTTATTGCATTTTTTTGTGGATCGGCTACAGGATTTATAGAAACATTTCTGTTCTGGTATCTTCACGAGTTAGGAGGAGGACAAATGTTATTAAGCGTCATAAACGGCCTCAACTGCACTGCCGAAGTCTGTGTATTTTTCGTGACAGACAGACTTCTCAGTTTCCTCGGACACATCAATGTTATTTACTTGGCTTTACTTTGTTATTCCATTCGTTTTATTTATTTTTATTTGATACAAAGCCCTTGGGCTGTCTTACCAGCAGAAGTACTCCAGGGAATTACCACCGCGGCCTTATGGTCGTCATGTGTGTCTTTTGTAGGATTACATCCCGGAGCCTCCAATACTGTCCAAGGTATTTTAAATGGTGTTTATATGGGTCTGGGGTTTGCAACTGGTGGTTTTATGGGTGGGATACTAGTGCATGTTGCTGGGATGAAGTTATCATTTCTTATCTACTCTGTGGCTAGCCTATGTTTACTTCTTATTTTTGTTGTTCTAAATAAAATAAACGTATCTTAAACTAAAGTATATTTTGTGAAGCTCATCAAAACTAAACTGTATAAAATATTTAGTGAATATTTTACTGTGAGTACCAAGGGACGTGTTAGTACCTTATATTCTGAGAGTTTGAGTGTTTTTTTTATTAAGCCCAAATTAAGCTTGCTGTTTTAAACAAATGGAGCTTTTCGATAGTGTCGTTACTCTGAACCACTACTGTACATCACTAAGGTAGGCCAGGGCCAAACGTCAAACTTTTCATGAGACGAACCAAACTCTAATTTCGGTCGACCTAAATAAAGCTCGTCTCAGATCGTCTGTTGGATCAGACGTTAAACTTAGGAAGCGTCGAACCAATCACGCTGAATCAGGCCAAAAAGCAATTTTTAGATTTTCTCCCGAACGAGGCTAAATATACATACATTATAAGAGGGTCTCAATGGGGTGGTAGCTTTTACGGTTATCGGCTAAAATTTTGGCTCTTTTACGGCTATCGGTTAATTTTTTCCAGTTACGGTTAACAACAAAGTTAAAAATTAATTTCTTTTGTTCCAAGGAGTTAAATATTAATAAACCGGTATTTTTTGTATCTTTAAAGCAAAAGAAAGGTCTTAGGATCATCTCGGGATGAAAAAAGCCATTCTTTTGCAAAATTTTAACATTTGAAGGACTGTACAGAACGACTGTCTGCCGTTGCCTTGTCCGTAGGCCTCATTCTTCCGCTCGGCTGATGCGTTTCGGGTCACGTGGTCCGAGCGAGTTTTTTTCTAAGATACGCCACCGAAATACCTTGACCGAGATTGCGTGGGAAGACGCCGTAGCGTCAGAGAAAAACAGGGAATTGTCACTCTTCGTCGACGAAGAGTGACATCTCTGCGTGTTGCTAGTATTTCGAGGGCACGACGTCCTGAAAATCTCAAATATTAATCCCCAGCAAGAAGCCAGAGTTTCGCCGTAGAAAAAATTAGTTCCCCGAGAGAGCGGCGGCGGAAATGGAGCCCAGGTCTAGGTGGTCCTAGGTCAACACCTAAAAGCTAGGCGCTTGGCCTGACGTAAGTACGAGGTCAAAGTAGCCGGGAAATAAAAACGCAACCATAAGTGAGTTTAGCACCTTCCTCAAAACTATGTTTAGATCCCTTGCTAAAGAAAATGCCAATTGAGAAAGAATGGGATAAATGCCGATTGCCAATTTTAAAAAGTTAAAAATGCCGATAGCTGATTTAAAAACCGGCAAAATGCGGATAGCCAATTGGGCAATGAGACCCTCTTATAATACTTTTTTTTAAAAAATTTATTAGTTTTGTTCGTAGCATATTAAGATTGACGTTTGTCCCTTAACTGAGCCAGACGTCGAACTTTTCATGAACGTAACTCACTAAGTTTGGTTCGTCTCTTGAAGAGTTCGACGTTTGGCATGGGCCTTATCCTTGGGTGAATTCGTAAATAATATTAGTCATTTTGCCTGATAAAAAGTTAAAGAAAACGTACAAAATATGCTGCAGTATTACAAGCTAAAATTCTGTAATCCCGGTTTGACAATTCTTTTTTAATTCCTTGATGTGAAAAGAACGTTCAGGATCTAAGATGAAATTTCTTGAAAATGAAAAAAAAGGGCATTGTTATGTCGCCCCGGTGAGCTTGCTCGCAGGCTACTTCGGATCCAGCATATCAAATTAAAATAAAACAGGGGAACGAAGTCACTCCCCTTTTAAAAAATTATTACGTGAAAAAGGCAAAGACAATATGGAAATGAAACCAGGCAAACGGTCCACGCTTCACCGAATCTTTTATTATTTTTCTGATTCTTTAAAAGTTTTGTTGACCAGGAAGTATTGTGTCAACACTAAAAATCCAAAAGCACCAAATATGAAAAATGTTGTTTGACCTCCAACAGAACTGAATAAGAAGCCGCCAACCACTCGGCCCAGTCCATGGCCTATGCCGTGGTACGTACCATGCAGCATCCCTGTAAAGAACGAAGAATATATTTGCACGCGCTTGTTAGCGGAATCTATACCCATGGTATGAATAACGAGTTCATTAGCACGTTAAGATTGAAAGGCCGCAAGCGTTTACGTAACGCTTACGTTACCTAGTTGATCCACGTAAGCCGGGCAAGTTAATCCGTTGGAGGCTGTCACTTCTGTCAGATGGCGTATGACAAAATTCAGAGGATGTTGGAACAACAACAGCTACTTCAATGAACGTTTTCGAATTTTATGGCCACAGGTCTATATGCAACAAGAACGAGAGGCCACGCAGGGGCGAGGCTCCCCTAGAATATTTTTAAGTTTCCTGCGTTTTCCGCGGGATACTTTCAGCAAATAAATACGAAGGAAAACGCAAGAGTTAGTTGTTTATTTTACCTATCTCTAGCGTTATGGAATAATAAAAGGATAAAGGAAGTTACCAAACAGAGACACCAATATAATGCGAAAAATTAATCAGTAATCCCGATTTGATGATAAAAATGTTTTCAGGGAAAAAAAATTTCCAGTTTTCAGCTGTACGTATGGGCGTATGTGCGTATATGGACGCTTCTGCCATGTGGGTACCTGAAAATCTTTTGTTTATAAGGCCCAGCTTTGTGGTTGTTATTGCAACAGAATAGCCATAACTTCGCAAACGTTTACTTTCGTGATCTAATGACAGGAAAGCTGCTTCATGGCTGACTGAGATTGGTAAATAGACCTTATTCACGATACCCGTCATCTTCGCACCCGCTTAAGGACTGATGGAATAAAAGCAATGTCAAGTGGTTTCTCATGAGGGCAAACAAGTGATAAAATCTGCTAATATGAGAAATGGCGGTCGAGTTTGACAACAGACAACAGAAAATTAACAACTTCTTATCTTAAAGACGATAATGGCAAATTATGGAATGAAGAGATCATTGTTACTCTTTTGGATGCAGTAGCGACCGTAGATATCCTAAGAGCAAGCAATAATGAAGTAAAACTTGTCGAAACTCGAACCGTAAATTTTGCATGACGATCGTTCCGTTTTGCGAGAATGAACAAACTCGACCGCTATTACTCGTATTGGTATTTTTTTCTTTTGTTTGTCCCTGAAATATCACGTGACATTGCCTTTATCCCATCAGTCCTGTAAAGATCGTGGAAAGATGGCGGTTTGAATTCGGAAAAAGTATCACAAAACGCGGGGCGCGTTGGGGAGCGATAAAAAATTAGCGCAGAACAAGGTTTGTAGAAACACTTACAACTATCTTCTACTTTCGACGGACAATATAATGGAAATTATAGCTTCTTAAAAACCGGGTTCAAATTTCATGCTCTTACAGGAGGAATCTTCGGGCTCTACATTTTAGATTGAAATGAAGAATATTGATTTGTTTTTCTTCACAGAAAAAAATCTAAACAAATATTAGCTTATGAAATCGAGAAAAACGATCCAAGGAAAGAACTGTATCTATTGAAAAATAAAGCATATAACCTGCGAAATTTCTCGACCTTGGCCGCCATCTTGAAAATTTTGGATCCACAATGCATCGCAATCGTAGTGCGCACACCACCTGGGTATCGTGAATACGGTCTACCGTCGAAACGCCATCTAACGTTTTAAGTATGAAAATAGTATTAAGTATCATCATTATTCTTTCTTGTCGCAACGAACAGTTGAGAAAGTAACTGATTATAAACGAAATGAGGGCTTCGAGAGACAAAGCCTCTCATATAAATGACCGACAAACTGTTGAACAAAGTTTTGTGTGGTGGGCTGTATTACGATAAATATACTAAACTCTTACCTTGTAGCGTGGCAGGAGCTCCCTCCACGGTGTGATAACCAATATACGCCACAAATCCTGCCCAGGCTCCAGCAGAAGTCAGCCCGGACAAAAACTCGAGGGGGAGAAAATACCAAGGACTGGTAATAAACGCATAACAGGACAGCCGTGCAACGTAGACTACTAGAACGAGGTAGATAAGATTTTGGAGTCCAATCTTAGTGATGACACGGGGAGATATGGTGTACACTATAAAATCGGCGATACATCGTACCACAGGGATGATACTAAACAGTATTTGTGGAGCCAGATAGTCTTCCAAATGCCAGAAAAAGAAACCCATAATCATACCAAAAGTCATTCCACAATACAGAACAGTTACAAAGAATGCTATATAATGAGGCTCGCCTAGAGTCCTGATTGCAGCATAAAGGCCACTTTGCTTTACTCTGTTGGTTTTGTTATCGGTAACAGTATCCTTATTCATATCAAAATCGAGTTGCAAACCTGTAAAAAGCGCGAGCAACTTCAATGTTATTGACCCATAGAAGCACAAGCTATAGTCGATCCTTTCTTTTTGCCCAGGTATAAAGGGACAGAGGTATTTGTCACTAACCAGCGCTCCAAAGGAAAACGCTGCAAGCCCCCAACCTATAGAGGCCCACTTCTTTTGCTTGCCGTATTTGTGTACATCGTTATTTTCTCTTAAAAGCCCAACAGCTGCGGTGTCACCGAGTGCGAGGCCTGGGCACGACAAAATAGTACCAAATAAACTGACAAAAAACAAGTACAAAAATGCATTCAATGTTTTCTCATTGCCTTGCTGATTGATAGTAAGTGTCAGCAGGTTTTCATCTTTATCCTCAATATTAACGGGCCATCTACTGATCTTCTCCGATTGTGCGATTGTTTGAAACATCCTAGAAAAAATAGAGTGATTTAGACCTATCGCTATCTCACGTCGGCTATCCTTGCCGATTTCAACATTGCAGGAAGGCATTGGAGTCAGTAAATAAGCTATTCCAACAGCAGTCAGGGCTACGAAAGATATGGTAAATATCAGCTTCCCTTTTTTGAACTTGTCAGCTATAGCTCCCCACATCGGGGTGAATAAAAATGATATGAATGGTTGAACACCAGATATTATTCCCACCTTCTTAGCAGGTATGCCAAGTACTTTATAAAACAAAGGCTGATATGGTAACAAAGCCCCAAGTCCAGCAAAATAAAAGAAATAAAACATTTTGGGAATGAGGTATTTGCGGTTTATGGTGCAGCAGTGGTCAGTGGAGCTTAATTCATCATCAAGCTGACTTTGCTGCCTTGTTATGCCGCGGCGTGTGTCTTTGCTTTTGTCTTCTTCCATATCCGTATTAGGTTAGTTGTTTACTGTTTCCTTTATATTTTACTCCCTCTGGCTATACGTCTGGATAGACCAACCTTAAATATGACAAAGAACAATTAGTCAAAGTACTGTCTCCAGTTTTGTTAAAAATAATAGGTTAGTTTTCTTGCCCTTGTCCGTGATTCTTACATCACGCAGCATTTTCTACGAGAGTGAGATCCGTTCTTAAATCAATTTATCCTGGATAATCATACTTCCCGGCTTTTTTTTTGCCCAGGTTAAGCGAGTCAAGGCTAATTGATAAAGAGGCAATTTCAATGTTTCGCATGTTATTAGCATACGACAAAGCCTAAACCCTTGTTCTCCGTATTCCCAGGAAGCGGCGCCTGAAACAGGCTATAACCTCCCGACTGGGGCGGGTCAGCTAAACGTTCGGTCCGGCAATCTCAAAGACGCCCTGTGTGGACTGAATATGGTCTTAGCACAAACGGGTTATACTACGTTGATCTACGTTAAAGGGAAATTGTTCCCTTTTTAAATTTCTTTTTAAAAATTTATACAACTCATATCGGATTGAGCGAGCAAGAACCTCAAAAAAAAAAAAGGAACCGCAGCAGGAGTAGAAACAATAAGACATCCGAGACGAAACGTGTTCTTGCGACTGTTAAAATGCCATAAACTGGAACAAATCTTCGAAACAGTTGTCATTGCTTCGAGACTCGCAGTTTTAAAAAGATTTACGGGATTATTCTTTTTGAGAAAGGGAAGGCTTAAAAAAAAAAAAATTTAAATAAGCGGATAAAGCGGACTAGGGAAGCCAGAAGGAAACGTGATGTTGGTGACTCCAAAAAAAGCCAATAATTTAACATTTCCTCAAACAGTCAAGGAGGCAAACTTCCCTCTTTTCTTTATTGTTCAATGCACAGAAAGAATAGATTCAATGTTACTGTGAGTCTGTTCAGTGATACATCACAGAAGGCATCATCAAAATCTGTTAAGACTAACATCAGTCACACAATCGCCTGCGGCCTTACATGACTCCTTTCCCAGAAACGGTGAGTGAACTAATTTTTTTGTTCGTACGCCATTTTGACGTCGTGAATCATTGAACACACGCATGGCAACATGGGATCTCATCTCGTTGGTGGAATATCATCGTCCGAATGAGTGTAGTCCTGAATAGGACTGTTGTTGAGAGTCAGTACTGACGTCATTTGATGGTATTTAACTCTGGTTATTGACCTGATTGGTCTATTAACCCATTCGCCCCTGAACCGCCCGTAACCGCCCGTGCGGATCCACGTCCTTTCTACCCTTTGTGACGTCATCAGTTTTAACGGTCAAGGACAACTTTGTCCGCTAACTTGTGTAGAGTGAAGAGATCTTTCAAACCATACCAGAATGAGCACAATTCAGTCAAGGAAACCGGAGAAAGAGGCAAAAAACCATGTAACATTGACCTGAAAATCTACATGAAAATCTTGTTCCATTGCCTACCTACCTTTCCTTTCACCTAATCCTAAGATCCTAAAAGCTTTCCTAAAAAGTATTCCCACCAAAATGAAGCCTACTAAATGCCCAGCAAGAGACAAAAAAATGAGGCAACAAAAGCGAAAAAAGAGGGGAGGAGAGAAAGCGAAAAGTAAAAGTCAAGACTGCTGTGTCACTGTTAAACCCAAAAACTGTCGAAATTTTGCTTTCTGCGCATGCCCGAACTTCGCAAGCTGATATTTTGCTTCTGGATCAGAAGGCCGCGAAGTGTACGACCTGTAAAGCGGTTTGTGGTAAGTTTTAGCTCTTTATAGCCCCACAGTGACCAGAAAACCACTCGACTAGCTTCAAAACGCGTTTTTCGGCAAAATCTCCAGGAGCGAATGGGTTAAGACTGGTCAACTCATGATGTTATTGGTTGTCTGTCAATTAACTAATATTAGTAATGGGCATCCGACAGTCTTCAGAGACTATGGCTGTTTCCACTGATTGAGGTGGACTTCACAGCGGGTCTTCTGTGGCTGCATAGTCCAATGCGAGAGAAGCACTCTCTGGGGTTTCTCTCTGTTTCCTGCGCTGTCTCTCATCTAGTATTGTACAAGATGCTGCGACTGCCGCGGGCCATAAAACAACCAGTCTGGCCGTCTTTGGATTATGCGCAGAAGTAGCGAAACCAACGGTTATTTGAGTCGTCGCTAAGGATTACTAAACATAAAGGTGACTAGAACGTAATCGCTTCAATCCTCACTTAAATGTACATAAATGGACTTGAAAGTTGTCTCTTTCACGATGGCTGTTAAGAACCATCGGTGCAGACTGGAATAATTGACAATTGACAATCCAGATTTGTTGATACGGTGGAAATCGACGAATGACCATGTTGATGATAAATGGGTAGAAATTTGGAACAAAGGATAAACCTGGCTCACCGTCTTCAATCTGACTTTTCTGACTCTTTCTTCTGCTCTGCCTTGTTTTTTGCTTTTTTTTTCGTATTTCTTTATTTAGCCTTGGGGAGCCACAGGCCGACCATCCGAACTGTTCAAGGCATTGTGATGTCACTCGCGACACTGATGTGATCTCATATATTTACTATATTCGTAACGGCCGTCTCGGCTTGATTCAAGTGATCTAAAGAAATGCTTCACAAAACACAGTAGTTTGCACCTTTTGATCCCAAATGTTAATGTCGTGTAACAAAGATAAATAAATGTAAAGGTGAAAAAAAGTGTTTTTCTGTTAAACTTGATCGTCGCCGTCGGAGTTGCTTAAGCTCCCCAATATTAGCTGGTTTAGTCTCTGCCCGTTGATTGGCTCAATGTAGATAAGAAAAAAAAAAAAACTTCTAGCAGTGCATAATTGGATTCTTGAAAAAACAATATTATTGAGTAGTCAGAATAGACATTTACTCTTCAACAGACCAGAGAGGGGTGGTATATGGTAAGACCACAAGGGGTATTCGTTTTCCTTTCAAACCTTCAGCGTTGAAAAGAGGTACAGATACACAAAGGTCCCTATTAAAAAAATATGGGCGTCTTAACGAACTAATTAGACCACACAGTCAATATCTTGACTGTCAACTCAATAAAGGACTCAACATTCCAAGATATTTGGAGTGCAAATTACATTGGATTCCTTTAAGCATGGCGATGGTAGTTATTGCATGCACTCTAAAGAGATAAAGAGATATATTTAAATAACTGGAGGCTATTTTCGACTTCACTATGACACACTTTCGTCTTAATCACAGATATACAAAGAAATCTCCGACTTACCATTAAAGTGAAGATCCTTCAATCTATCAGACTTACCGGTTTTATGAATTGGTGTCGTAACAAGTAACGCGAAAGTGAATAATGATCATAACATTAAATAAAGTAGAGGATTCGAACCACCCGCAAGTAAAGTGTTAAAAAGATATCACTTCTACCCGGCAGGTTACGCTTGTGTCAATGGAACTTCTACCTGTTAGCTAGCTTTTTATGAGCAGTAGAACTGATCTTACCATGATCGGAACGGTGACATTGAGACACTGTCGCCTTGTTTGTTATTGCGCAACAACATTGTTTAAGGGGAATGAGGAGGGAAGGCTTGCCTGTTCCAAGAAATGTACTGTTTTAAGAAAACATGAGGATGGCTGTTAGTATAAGGGGTCTCCAACTAATTCGGGCGCTTATTAAAGCTCTTAGATCTTATCATGTTTATTATAGACCGCACTGAAAAAATAGAGAACTCTATCATCAAAAGGAAAAGTTACTGTTTATAAAATGTTTACACCTGTCTATCCATGTTTACAACTGTCGTGATGCTGAAGAGAATTTAATAATACGGCTGAATTCTTAGCAAAAGTAAAATTCAGACGTTTGACTAAAATAAACTCCTGGTATTACAGACACTCACTATTGACGACACTACGTCGCGGTCCCGAAGGCCTGTGTAGCCTCAGTGCTAATTATTAGTTCATTCCCCTAGCACTTTAAAACGTGCCGGGGCTACTTTTGGGCTACAAAATGAAGGAAATGAAAGAGTGAACATATAAATTAGTAATGAAAAAAACTGTTCATAATTTTATTTTTCCTGCTTTGAAAGTTTTATCTTTTAGCCAGTCAGAAACAGAGAAATACTTTGTAAGAATAATGGTTCCAGATATTGCAAAAACCAAATCTACTGAATTATACTTTGCTCGAAAAGAAAACAAGAACAAACGCACTGTGACAAAACAATATTTTCTATCAAAAAAAATATAACGTGATAAAGTGCTATTAAAAATCCACGCACTAATTCTCCGTTCATCTAAAAAAAGATAAATGAATGATTTCATTATCAACAGACCAATTTCATTTTGCTATTTCTTTCTGAAGTCTTGGAAAGAGTAGGTCACGAATAGCGAGTATGCCATTTAACAAAGAGCAAAAGTGTGATATCTAATACTGTGCAGAACAGTACAGTCACAAAGTCGTAGGTGACCCTGAGGTGCTGACTGTCCCACTAGTAACCGACACTGATAACTACCCAATCTTGCTGGAAGAGGTCGAAGCAGCTGAGAAATCGCTCAACTAGGGAAATTCTCCAGGGATAGACAATATCCCGGGGGAGCTGGTACAGGCGGGAGGAGATGCCGTGATAAGTGCCTTCCATAAAATCTGCAATAAGATATGGAAGACAGGCGAGTGGCCCATACCATGGACCCAGTCTCTTATCATCACCTCCCCAAGAAAGGCAACCTTCAATAGTGCAAGAACCACCGCACGATCAGCCTAATATGCCACGCAAGTAAAGTCCTGCTGAAGGTACTGTTAAAAAAGCTGAGACAATCATCGCCGAAGAACAGGCAGGTTTCCGATCAGGTCGCAGTACGACAGAACAGATCTTCAATCTTCGGATACTGTGCGAGAGGTACCTCCAACATCAACAAGACCTCTATCACGTCTTTATTTATTTTAAAAAGGCGTTTCACAGAGTATGGCATAAAGCCCTTTGGTCTACTATGAGGCTTCATAACGTTATAACGCCAACCTCGGATCCAAGTCATTGAAAGCCTCTACGACAAGGCCACTAGCTAGTGCAGTCTACGTTAATGGTGGCATAGGAGACCGGTTAAGAACCACAGTCGGTGTCAGACAAGAGTGTTTACTCTCACCGACTCTTTTCAACATTTTTCTGGAGAGAAATATGACTGACGCACCAGAAGATCACCAAGGAACAGTCAGCATCAGAGGCAGAACAATTTCCAACTTACGTTTTGCTGATGACATTGATGTCCTGGCAGGAAAAGAGGAGGAACTAACCTCCCTGGTGGATGGCCTCGATAAGTCCTCTGCAGCCTATGGCATGGAAAATAAAAGTGCTGAGAAGACCAAACTGATGACCTGTAGTCGGTAAAACTCCCTACAGTTACCGCCTTCCGGGTGGACTTCCCATGGGGACAGCCTCGGATCCGCCGCAAGCGGAGTTGCTCACATATGCCGATGCATTAAGCTTAACATAAGGAGCTTTTAGCTTTGGCCTTGGCTAAAGGCTTCATATCGCTTACAACCTTGGAATGTCTTTTTCACCAAATAGCTCAAATGAAAATGTGCTTAGAGAACGCAGTGCAAAGTTTAACGTTTACACAGTTTTAGCCAAGGCATGTAAACAGTTGCCACATGACTTGTCATAGATAAATAAGATGTAGAAGGCTTGTTGAAGAAGCTTTCTTTGAGTAGTTGTATTATATCATTTTGTTTTTGTTTTAATATGGATCTTTTTATCGTATCAGCATTGCCGAATGAACTTGAATCAACCGAACCGTTTGCTTTAATAAGATAGAGAAGATTAACAGTTTAGGATAATGCGGTTAAATTCCTGTACGTTTTAAGGCTTGGCATTGAAGTATCCTGTTTAAATCATGTGTTTTCCCACACCTCACAAAGTTTCATTCAAAATCCTTGCAAAAGAGTGTTTCATTCATAGAGAAGTTCCAGCTCTAAACAAAGTTTGTAGCTACTTATTCATTGAAACTCAGTCCATAACATGACAAATATTACAGTCTGGGCATCTACCGAAACTGTCGATTGCTTGCACTAGATTACTATTAAACATAAAGCATGCACTTTTTTTTTCCTAAAAATGGAAACAGTCTGTTTCAGTAGTAAAATGCTTGTCTTTTTAAAAGAAAGAACAATGAGATTATTCTCTCTTGCTTTTTATCAGTACTTGAAGGAGAAGAGAAAAGTAATTCTTAATAGTCGTTACTATTTTATTGGCTCTCAGTCAAGGTCCATACAGCGCAGTGCGTTTAGGAAACAAAATCAATGATGGCCGTTCGTCCAGGTTGCCTTCTTCGGAACCATTCGATGAAACTAGCATTCAAATTCGCACTGAACTACATTGTTACTCCATGTTCGTTGTACCTTTTTTTTATTCAGACCCACTTGTTAAATGATTTACTAATATATAAGTACCCATGATCACCAGAGAAAATGTTCCAAATATGGCAAATGTCGTGGGTGCTCCAAAGTTACTTATGAGGAAACCACCGATGAGCTCCCCTGATCCATGTCCCAAACCCCAGTGGACACCATGTAAAATACCTGAAATAGAAAAATAACATTAAAAAATGTCAACTTTATAATCCCTATTTTTATTCATTCAAAATATTTCTTCATGTCTTCATCAGTCGGCTAATTCTTCATAACTAGCTGGTACTGATTAAGTTTGGAAGATGTCTGTAAATATTCTACCGGCATTGACATCAGTCACTGACGTCAATGATAGCATAATCGCAAATTATCCTCGACTGACGTAACGCAAAACAGCGGCTTGGTAGGTTAGCTGTTTAAGAAGAGGAGAACTGGAAAATGAAACTGCTGAATTACTGAGGCGGTCTTGGTGGACAACATCCTCCCTAAACTGTGTGATTGTTCATATCGTACGAAAGCCAAATTTAATAAATGTTAAACAAAAGGAAAATGATACAATTAACAACAGTCTCACTGTTTACCTTGCAATGTTACCGATGCTCCCTCTACCGAGTGAGTTCCCACGTAAGACATCATGGCTGCCCAGACTGCTGCTGTGGTGATTCCAGATAACAACTCAATTGGAAGAACCTTCCAAGGATCAGTAACAAGTGCATAGTAAAACAAGCGCACGGCGTAACACGTTAACCCAAGGTACAGTACACGTATTGTACCAATGTAGGCAATAAGCTTAGTGGAAAGAAAATACAAAGTAACCTCCGCGACACAGTTTACACCTGTCATGATGCTGAAGAGAATTTGAGTGCCACCTAAATCTTTAAGATGCCAAAACAGAAAAACCCGGATGAAACCCATTGTAATGCCCACATAAAATGCAGTAACCAGGAACATGGCGTGTCTTGGTCGAGTGAGAAGTTTAAGCCCCGCAATGATGCCTTGGTTGCTACGTTTAGTTTCATCATCATTGGCAGGTGTATCGTTGGTTGCCACCTTATCTTCATTAGTATCTTTAGTGTCTGGTTTGTTATTGTTATTGAAGTTAAATCTTGACCCAATTACCAAGGCAATAATGTTATAGACAACAAACATTGCAAAGCAGGGGTAGTAGTTGACGTCTTTGCGCCTGGCGCTTCCTGGAGGACAAAGATGAGTTCGACTAATGGCAGTGCCGATTAAGAATGCCATTGAGCCGTAGCCAACAGATCCCCATAGCCTTTGCTTTCCATATTTGTGAGTCTCATCATTTTGCTTTAAGAGATTTACAGTAGCAGTGTCCCCTAATGTCAGACTGGGGCACGATAGTATGGTTGTCAACATTGTGGCAAAGAGTAAGTAAAGGAAGATAAAAGTGTTTTTCCTTTTAGGGGACTTTCGTGAATTTTCTTGAAGGGCGATCATGTCTGATTGAGACCACGGAGTTTCCTCAACAGATTCGTCTGCTGTTTGCGATACTCCATCCAAAGACATCTCTTCTTTTCTACCTTTTCTAACGCTAAATTCCAAACCATCAGCAAACATATTGTCTCTTTCTGGGGAAATCTTACTCAGTAAATCTGATATGCGGGAAGATCGTTTTTTATCAAGTTTACTGCTTTCATTATGTCTTGCTGTTTGCAGTCTTCGAGTACTCACTGTTGCCTGATTGTACCTCATAGAAGCATCCCTGGTATCACGAAAAACTATTCTGGAATGCCAGCGGTCATTGGACAGATTGGAGTTGTTCGGAATCCTCCAGAGCTCGCTGCCAACAGGAGAATATAAGGGGCTTTTGTTATCATCTGGAATTCCTCGGGTATTTACAGCTGTTGGCTCAGTCTCGCAAATGTTGATGGGAACGAGAGCGTAGGCGACCATTCCCGAAATTAGGGCAATCATGGAAATAATAAACAACAGCTTTCCCTTCTTGAATCGATCAGCGACGCATCCCCAAAATGGAATGAAGAAGAAAGCGATGTAAGGCTTCATTCCAGTTATGGCTCCAATTTGACTCGGAGGTAGCTCAAGTTGCTTAAAGAATAAGGCCAAATACGGCAACAAAGAACCCTGAGCGGAAAAGAAAAAGAAGTAGAATCCTTTCGATATCAAGTAAACCTTGTTCATAGTAAAACATCTTTCAGTTTTCTCTTCTTCCACTTTATCTCCATGGTTCTCATTTGTTTCGTTAGTGCCTGTAGAAGACATAATTTACTAACGTGGTCGATTCGTCTTAATGTCTTGCAATTCACTAACTAGTAGGGGTATTTCGTTGTTAAGGGCGAAATTGTGAGCTGTTTATTGTTACAGCGATAAATAAGTGATCAAATCCACGTGCAAGTTCAACTGCGCATCAGATAAATGACTGGTGGGTTGCTGGTAAATGCAGGTGACGAGAAAATCGTAAACTCGGTCTTTTGTCCTAGAATAAAACTATTGCTATTTTGTTAACAAATTAAGTTCAAATCCCATAAATGTTGAGCAGATTTTCTAGTTTGACACGTGCGCTGCCACGAATCGTCGAGCTTCCTCAATTTGTTTAAACCGGAACTGGTACAACAGATAATGAGAAACTTTTATATACCACAGAAAGCGCTCATGGGTAGCCTTCATTATTGCGCAGAAGTGGGTATCATGCTAAAATGTCTTCTTATGGTTAAGCTGTAGTCCTCTCAGGTAATAATTCTCAGTCGAGTCAACATTAAAATAATATTTTCCTTGAAACTTAAATTTGTAGATAAATTTAAGCAGATGCAGACCCAAATGTTGCTAATGTATATCTGAGATTTGCCTGTTCATAGGCCCTCTATTTTCTCTTTAGTGATCATTGAGCGCTCGTATCGATTTTCAAAAACAAAAAGAAAGCAGCTTCTGTGTACAGGCTAATCTGATATGTATGACTCTTGATGGACTCAAAAGACAATCTTAGACGTTTACCAGAGAGGGACGATACACTTTCAGTTAATTATTGACGGCTTATAGGCTAATCCCCTTAAACTTCCCTCCTTCTTTATCATCATTGGTTTTTTTGGATTCTTTAACTTTCTTTAACTTTTTTTTTTTTTTGCTTTTAAAGTGTTACTGGTAATCTCTTTTTCATGATTCAAACTCCGCCGACCCCGAAAGGGCAGTAAAATTTCAACAGTGACGAACCAATGTTTGCACTGTCTCTAGCCTGTTCCAGGCTCCGAGACCGGTGGAAAGTCGTTCAGTAATAAGAAATGCGAAAAACGCGCGGGGTCTGGGGAGAGACACCATCGCCCCCTTTCCCACGTCGTGCGCTTCTTATTTTCGCTTTGCTCGTTTTAATACTTTCCCACTATACTATCTGAGAGCCTGGCACAGGCTACACTGTCTCCAATCTCCAAGCACTGAGCACGTGACCAGTCGAAATTCACACCCTCTGATAATGAGATAGTCAAAGACAGAATGCCATGGGGTCGAGGTTAAATTTTCAAATGAGTGGGCACTAGTAGACAGTCGATTGCCTAATAAATCAGGACAGCGGGATCGATTGATAAGCAAAACATTTTCTCTATAGGAGCATTTTATTGTTTCATGAAATATTTCTCTGCCGTTCACTTCATAGAACAACTTCGAATGATCAAGGTTCTTTAGAGAACGTAAACTTACGTTGTACGGTTAATTTTCTTTTCTCCGAGGGAGCTTAAAAACATACACACCCGGCACGTTTCAGGTGCGTGGTAGAAATTAAACTAAATTCAAAATTGCCAAAGGATTTCAAAAGGCCTGACTATTGATTTACGTAACACCTGCATTGGCGTTGCCATCATGTTCACTTAAAGTGTCAAAGACGTTATATGAAAGCTAAGTGGAAATTGATTTCTCTACTAAAAAAGGGAAGCCACTAGTGGTTGTAACTACACGGAAGGCTCTTTAAAGAGGGTGTGAATGGGGTTAACCGACTAGCGACAAAGGGCAAAAAACATTACTGACTACCGACAAAATGAGTAAAAAATTACCAACTACCGACAGGAAAAATATTAACCGACTACCGACGTGGGCTGATATTATCAATATTTGTTTCCAGAAAAAAGAGCACTTTGCATTTTTTTTTTCTAGCCGTTAGGAAGTAAACTCTTTAAATTTATGACTCATCAGATGGCCTAAGGGAAAGAATTTCCTTTTTTTTTGGTTAATACAGGTATATTGCTACAGCCAATATCATAATCACAAAGTCAGACCTTAAAGATGCTACCGACTTTATAAATTTTATTGAAAAGTCAAAGGCGAAAAAACCGAACGTTTCTTGTTTTGGTCCGAGAAATGCTTAGATTAATCCTCAAAGAAGATTTTTTCCCGTTCAATGGAAAGCACTATCATTACAAACCCACGGTACCGCGATGAGCAGTTTCTGTCGTCAAAGGAAAGGTTGAAAAAGTACCGTATATAACTTTGTGTTTCAAATTCGTTTTGGCAGAAATTTGGTTGACAAACTTTTGCGATGCATCTACACATTTTTTTTCCTACGGGACATAAGTAAACCAGACATCGTAGCTTTCTTCGCGGAACAAGTAAACTTACATCACCCTACTATGAAATTCACGGCCCAAATATCTGAAAATGAGACATTCTTTTTAGAAACGGTTGTATACCAAGGCACAACATTCAGTGAAAAATGAGAAAAGCTATATCCTTGACGTTAAGACGCAATTCAAACGGAAACCTTACGGTATATACATTTTCACCTCTTATCATCCACCAGTTGTTAAAGCGCCTGTATGACAAACGAGAAGCCTTGAAAATCCTACAAACAAACTCCTCTGAAGAAGTATTTCAGATTTCAAAAGCGCTTGATGGACAGAGGGTAGCCACAATTTTGAAAGCAAAATTGCTATCAGAAGTAAAACTTACAGAAAGGAAGGCAGCTCTCCTGAAGCAAAACAACAAGGAAGAAAAAGAAATATTGCCTTTCGTGGCGCAATACAGCCCTCAGTGTCTATTATAAAAGAGGCTTTACTGAAAAAGTGGAATCTCATACAAAACCGACCACTACCTTGCCAAAATTTAAAAGAACCACATTAAGTGCTATTTCTTCGAGAAAGGAAAATTTTTGGCAAAGGACATACTTGTTAAAACCAAAACATAAGAGGGATAGATGTGCAGCCTGTCACCCCTTGCAGTTTTTCACTAAAAATAATTTAAGTATCCAAACGGCTAGAGTCCATTAATTAATTAATTAATTAATTAATTACTTTTTACTGTGCCCTGTAGTCGACAGGGAAACCAAGTTCGTATATTCATTTGGCAAACAATGGAAATAAACGATCATGTTGCATAAACAAACAAGAGTTAATGAACGGTTTAGGTGCAATCAAATGATGTATTCTTACAAGTTTTACTATTTCCTTAGGGATCAAAGTCATGAAAAGTGGGTGAAATACATAAAAAATATTAATAATTGACAAGCGTTTTTACTTATTAACTGAGATTTTCCGACAACCGACGAAAATCGAAAAGTTTAACCGACTACCGACAAAGATCGAAAATTTTAACTGACTACCGACAAAGTTACTGAATTTTAACCGAGAACCGACAAGTGGACCCCCCCATTCAGATCCTCTTTAAATGGCAGCTAGTATGTATACACATATCCTAGCTCCTTTCAATAATAGAAATCACTGACATGCAGACCGAATATAATTCACAAATATAAACCACAGAAGCCCTTAGCCAGGAATGGTAAACATTAGCACCAACCTCGTGATGTAGACAGTTTCAGCTTCATAAAAAAACAAAGTCACGTTGCTTTGGATTTATTTAATTCAAAATGCTCGATTGCCTTACCTATTCACCCTATTTATTTTAATCACTGAAATAGCTGCTATTTCAAAAAATAGATAGATTATTTCCTTCTTTCCTTTTATCATCTCCGGTCATCATCACTGACATCTGAATATTCAGTGGCAGAATCTCCGTTGCAACCTTCTTTACCATCTCTGGACCCGCAGAAATAATTAATTAAAACATAAACTCCTAAAATAGCAATGCACAAAATACCAAATATAATAAATGTGGTAGGAGCACCATAATGGTGGACCATAATCCCTCCTATCACCTCCCCTGCGCCGTAGCCTAGTCCCCAGTGCACTCCATGCAATATGCACTGCATTGTAGTGGCGGCGCCTGGGCCTGAGTTTATACTGACGTAAGAGAGACAGGCAGCCCATACTGCTGCTGTTGTTATACCTGGTAACAGTTCCACAGCAAGGACCATCCACGGAATGGGAATAGCTGAGTAGTAAAACAGCCTTATCGAGTAGCAAAGTAGCCCTAGATACAAGACTTTGGCATGGCCGATTCGTTTTATTAGCTTGGCTGAAAGAAAGTACATGCTAACTTCAGCGAAGCAGTTCACGGCGGAAATGATACTGAATAGGAGCTGGCTTCCACCAAGATCCTTGAGGTGCCAAAAGAGAAATGTTTTAATGAATGCCATGAGAAAACCCAGGTATAACGCAGTGAAAAGGAACATAAGATATGTGGGACTTTTCAAGGCTTGAAGGCCAACGCTTAAGCTTGCTCCTCTTGACTTCTTGGTTTTTTCTTCAAATTTGAACTGTGTTGCTGTTAGCAAACCCAAAAACATCAGAATAGCAAAGGTGTAAAAGCAAGGAATATAATCAACAATCTCATAATCTTTGTCTTTTCCGCAGTTGTGAGTCGTTTTTAAGGACGCACCGACCACAAAGGCTCCAACACCCCAACCAATAGATCCAGTGAGCCTCTGCATGCCATATTTGTGGGTCTCTGTTCCCAGAAGTTGAAGGGTGGCGGTGTCTACCAGAGCAAGAGTTGGAGCGGAGATTAAAGTACCGAAGAATGTTATCAAAAATAACGTCATAAAGCACTTAGTTGTATCCAGTTCTACTCGTACGTTAGTCTTTTCATCCAGGTTGATAAAAAGTTCAAGAGACCAGGGTTTGGGACCTTTGAAAAAGTAAGGCATATACGATTCTTGGTTTCTGTCTATCTCAACCATTTTGTCAATTCCGGGTTCGGGAAACTCAAGATTAGGGCTGTCAATAACTGGTCTATTTATGTCTATCAAGCTGGAATATTTGGGGCCAGTAATATTACAAAATCTTTTGACCACTACTTTCTTTTCTTTGGGCCCTGGAACTAAGCTGAGAGTGAACGTACCAAGTATAAGTGCGATAATGGAAATGACCATGACTAATTTGCTCTTCTGGCACTTGTCCACGATGGCACCCCATATCGGGATAACAAGAAAATTAACAAAAGGCTTCAGTCCCATAAGAATGCCTACTTCACTCGGTGAAAGCATCAGCTGTTTGAAGTACAAAGCCAGGTACGGAAGCAATGATCCCCAAGCAGAGAAGAAAAAGAAATAAAACGCTTTGGGAATCAGAAGTTTTCGATTCACCCTGGGACAACATATCTTCTCATCACCGATGCTCTCTTGATTAGTGATGGTTTTCTTGTCGTCGTTCCACATATCTCCTCAACATATCTTCTCAATGTTTGAGTTCTTAAAACCCTTACATGAAATAATTTCAAGTAGGCCAAAGATATTTAGAGTTAGATTGGTTCTCTGTTCAATGTTGGTGCGAAACATTAAATTCCTCTGTGGGCACGTAACAATTTTGACAAATTTTTTCTTTCACAATTTGTCCTTTTCTGGCCGCCTAGTGATAATACGTGAATTTTTTATAATAAGCAACTTAACAGGTGTTTTGTTGTCAACGCCTCGGTCCCAAACCGTAACCCGGAGAGCGCGGTCTCGTTAAAAGTGTAGTGTTTGATAAGCACTCGTCAGTCACTTTCGCGCGATTTTCCACGTAAGGTGTATTTCTCACACCTTTTTTACGTAAAAATTTCAGAGAAACTTATTTACACGTAATAAAAAAAAAACTTATTTACACGTAATACAAAAAATAGCAAATACTAGCAAACTTGCTTCATAGCATAGAGATGGAATAAGGATATCAAGCAGTGTTAGCTCAAAAGATTTATCCTTGTATCACATCTTAATGTTTGCCATATTTACAATAGAAGTCGGAAGACGTTCGTTGTTATATAATGCATTTCATGATAGAAAGATTAACTATTCAAGCAATTTAGCTTGTTCTCGATTTCGCTGCTTATTTTAGTTAGACACAGGCCCGCTAAAACCACCAGAATAGCTTACAGGTGGTCGATCCGCTAGGGAAGTTTTACCAGCCCAAGTGATGAAATGAGCAGAACTGGGGAGCAATTTTTACAGCTATCCTTTGTGACGTTATTTATTTATTTTAGCAGAAGTCAGCAAACCGGAAATAAGCAATGACGAAAGCGTAGGCTTATTTATCACATTTTAAGTAAAGCAATTAAAGTCATTGAAAACATTCATTTCAAACAAAAAAATGGCACCAGTCGTTAAGTATCCAGAGAACAGGAGTCTATTCAGTCATGTAGCAAAGACTTTTCAACCAAACGATTCCAGACTAGCTTAGGAATATCCGACTAGATACAACACAACTATTAGGGGTCAGTTTTAGAAGATTTTTCTGTTAGACTAAAAATGTTGCCTTTCAAAAAATAGATCGATTAAGATTTTCAAGGTCCACTCCCGCATACAAGAAGGGCTGATGTTGAATCCGTTAGCTTTGAGACTTGAGACATTGAAGTTTTCACCGAAATTTCCACCATTTATTATTGCAACATTTTTACGATTAACGGATAAACGTTTTGGTCATTCTATGGCTACTGGTTAACCTCATGAAAACCCTCTATTTATTTCGACCATTTTAATTGCCAGTAAGTCGAATTGGCCACGCCTGTGAGAGATCCTTAAATTTCGTGCTCTATCACAATCAGATTCGAACTTCGATATATAAAACCAATTATATTTAATTATTTATCTAATTATTTTTAATCTGCTCAAAGATGTGAGACCAGCTCACTTATAATGGATTTGGTATATGATATACATTAACTAATCACTCGAGGGACCTGTAAAAATTGTTTTAGTTGATCTATATTCTCAACAAGAACGTTCCCAAAAAGAATGCAAACTGCACCTGTTGCATAAACTTCGAAAGCATTTGCCGAGCCAACAAAGTTAATCATTACACCACCGAGTACCTCTCCACACCCATATCCAAGTCCCCTGTAAAATGCGTATAGAATTCCTTGATGTGTTGTGGCGTTATCAATGGTCGATATTTCATTGACATAGGACATCATTGCCACCCAAGCTAACGCGTTTGTTATTCCAGGCATGAATTCAATCGGAAGAACGAGCCAGGGGTTAGTCAGGCATGAATACCACAGACAACGTAAGGCGAAACCTCCTGTAGCAATAAATAACACCCATGTGTGGCCGCGGCGCGAAATGATTCTGTCTGATAAAACAAACATAGAGACTTCTGCAAAGCAGTTTACAGCTGTGATAACGCTAAAGAGCAGCTGAGTTCCGCCCAAATCTTTCAAATACCAAAACAGGAAAGTCTTTGTGAAGGCATTCAAAATTCCAAAATAAAACACCGTGACTAAGAACATAACGTATTTCAGGTTTAAATTCTGCTTAAGGCTATTAATTATCCCGTTGTGTTTATTTTCACCTTTTCTGTCTTTTGTGTCATAGGAGAATTCAAATTTTGTAGAGGTTAAAAGGGCTGATAACATTAATACACCAAATGTGCAAAAGCATGGCATAAAGTTGACTTCCGAAGGCTTGGTAAATGGATTAGGACAATGGTGACTCAGAGTAACTAACGCTCCTACTACGAATGAGGTAACTCCCCATCCAACAGAACCCCACAGTCGCTGCCGACCATACAAGTGCACATTAGGTTTTAATGTCTTCATTGTGATCAAGTCAGCAAGGGCTAATGACGGAGAAGAAAAAATGTTGCTCAATAAAATAACGATAAATAATATTGTGAAAGCTTTTAAAGTGTTGAAGTGTTCTTGTGGCGACGTCGAAGATGAAGCCTCTTCTTCGCTCAAATAAACCAACGGCCATGGCTTTCCGTTCACCACGGAGGACACGAAAACAAAATTCTTCCAGTAAGAGGAGATATTTCCGTTATGTTGAGGCAAGATGCTGGATGTATTACTCGGCAGCTCAGTGGCACGAGAGACTAATCGCATTGCGCATATCCGCTCAGCTGGTGCAACTAAAAACAGCGAGGACTGTGACAATGCAGTAACGAAAAGGGATAGCAAAAGAACTGCCTTGCCTGTTTTGAAACGGTCCACAAACGCCCCCCAAAGGGGAGTAAAAATAAACTCCACAAAGGGCTTCAGTCCCATTAATATTCCAACTTGGGATGGTGTTAGTCTCATTTGCTTGAAATACAAAGCAAGATAAGGCACCAAAGCTCCCAATGAAGAAAAATACAAGAAATAAAACAGTTTCGATGGGATGAGTCTTCTGTCGATTTGTGGACAAAAGTTCCTTTCACTATTGCCATCGTGTTGGTGGTCTTCTTTAGTGTCAATTTGCTCTTCTTCCTGATTATGTTTTGTGGCATTCTCCTTTGATTTCATAACTGTCTTGCTACAATATTGCTTAGGATCAACAGCCATTGTTTGTGTAGAGTGTATTGAAAAAGAATTAAAATTAAAAATTAAAAGTTAATTGAAAATGAACGCAAACACTACTGACTTGAAAGTCGCTTCTGTATCTCCCCTGACCCTTCCTTTTCAGACTGAAGCAATTTGTAAAATAAGCAGTTTGTTCTCCTTGATGCGTTATACAGAATTTCTTTAAGACTGTTCTTCAACGTTTTCGTGCCTTATACAATCCATGAATTTTACTTTTTTGAATTGCAACACACCTCTAGTTGTTAACCACCCGCTAGAACCCGCGGCCATATTTTTCAACTCTTTCAGCTCCCTAAAGTTCGTTTGATTTGGTTGCGTCACTTCTTTCCAACAGAAGTACTTAAATTTCACTTAAACTATTGATGAAAGTAAACACTTAAATTTTATGATTCCCCTTATAGGTTTGAGAGGAGGAGTTAATTCACACTGCCAGCTTAAAAAGAACTTAACGGACCTTAGAGTTAAGTAGCCTTCTGTCTTTTTGTTCTTCAAAAATCCTACATTATATTTTACCATTAATATTTGAATTTTAGCCTGGAAAGGGTTTCTAAAACTTAGAACAATGAACAGCCCGTCAGGCAGCTTAAATTCCACAACTGATGATGGTGTTTTAAAGAACCATATGCCGAAAACGAAGGATTAGTTTTTTGAAATGATTCACGGTTCATAGCTCTTAAGCAATAAATTGCAATTGTGCTGTAGTTGACTGAAGCCCCGCAGCAATCGCATTAAACGTGTTAACCACCGAAAAGCACTACCCCTGGCCTTGGTCCAACAAGCTTCTTGGTTTATTCTCTCTCGATAGGAGTCGAACCTATGACCTTCTCGTCCCAGATGTTTAAAAGGTGGATAGTGCTATCCAGTGCACCAGATAAATCGCTATCCAGAGATATTAAAAAAACCAATTGCACTCGATCCCGTGGATAGGGTTATCAACCTTTTGAACGGATGAGGTCTGGTTATTACTTTACTAAGCAGCAGGTTTTTAGCCCTGGACACAAACAATTTCGTAAAAAATGTTTTTAATAACTTTTATAACAATATTTTTGAAGTGAATGAACACTATTGATTTAACATTAAATCCGAGAGCCATGAGAATTATAGTCAGATCCTGCACGTATATGTTTTGTGCATTTTTTTACCCTAATACAGTAAAACCTGCATTAAGCGGACACCGTATTAAGCGGACAGTGAGCCGAAATGCCCCAATTCCTTTTTCCTTATTTACTGACGCGAAACCATTATTTAGCAGACACCTCTATTATGCCGACACGGAAACCTAAAAAGTTCCTGAAATGGTCATCACTGGTACAGTGATGACCATTTGATGACCCGAACGTTTTGTGGACTGACTGGAAAGCTAATTTTCTTAACATTGTGAACAGTCATGCTCCAATCAAAACAAAACGTGTTAGGTCAGGCAAGGTACCTTAGATCACATCATACCTGCGGAGGGGTATGCGCGATCGCAAGGTTGCTAAACGGAAAGCTATTAAGTCTAACGATCCTTAAGATTGGGTGTACAAAAGGCTACGTAAGAAGATCAATGGAGAAGTTAAATCTACAAAGGCAACCTATTATGCTAATGCGTTTATTCAGTCTAATGGCGATTCACGTAAAACCTGGCAACGAACTCACGTCCCGTCAGAAAAATAACGCGTCTGTGAAAGAATTAAAACTAAACGAGAACTCAGTAACCAATTCTTACAAGCTCACGCTTCCAATACATTTAATGATCACTTTTCAACCATTGGAACCAAACTTGCCAATGAAGTACTTCGGCCTTGTTACTGATGGCTCAAGTTATGCCGATTACATTGTTAGAAGCAACAACAAGTTCTTTTTTCAGTCCAATCAGTAGTAGTAATGTTTCTTCTCCCCTAAATAAATTATCCAAATCCAAAGCAACAGGTCTCGATAATATTTCTGGAAAACTAATTCGGGAATGTGCGGATCTTATCTCGATCCCTTTATGTAATATTTTCAACAAGTCCTTAAGTTCTGTTTTTTTTTTCCAAGAAAACTGGAGACGCGCTTAAATGACTCCATTGTTTAAACAAGGTGAACGAACGGATATGAATAATTATCGGCCAATCTCTGTTATCTCAGTAAAAGAGAATAGTGTATGATCAATTGTATAGTTTTTTGGCTAATGAAGAGATTATCACCAACCAGTAATCAGGTTTTTGCTCGTTGCACGCGACTGTCACTGCTCTCTTCGAGCCCGAGATAAGACCCGCACATCCAGCTGGGCTTTCGATATAGATCGCGGTAACGTAAATGCAATGGTTTTCCTGGACTTGAAAAAAGCATTTGATACCGTTGATCACGATGTTCTTTTAGCTAAATTTAGTCTGTACGGAATACAGGAGTCTGCTTACAATTGGTTTAAGTCGTATCTAAATAACCGTACACAGAAATGTGTCGTCAATGGTTCGCTTTCCAAAGTCTGTTCTCTGGGCTGTGGGGTTCCTCAGGGAACTATCCTAGGCCCTCTTCTGTTCTTGATCTATATCAATTTACCAAACTGTTTATCGTTCTGCCAACCTAGGGTGTTGACGACACCCACATAACATTTGCTAGCCCAGACTAGTCTAAATCGTGATAAAGTAACATCCACAAACTGCAACAAACTTACTCTCAATACAACTGAAACTGAGTTTATGTTAATTGGTTTTAGACAAAAACTGAGAACATTATTTGAATCCCTTGAAATTTCGGTAGATAATGTTCCTATAAAATAAGTTTCCGGCTACTAAATCTCTTGGGATCCTTATTGATGATAACAGTGCATGGCATAGTCATATCGACAAACTATCCAAAAAGATTGCCTCTGGCATTGGCGCCATTGGGCGAATTAAGCCTTTTGTTTGGCCAGAAATACTCTGTTAAATCTACAATGTCTTGGTAAAACCCCATTTCGATTACCGTAGTATTTTCTGGGGGAATTGTGGCAAAACGCTCTCAGACAAATTACAAAAACTGTCGTGGTGCTTGCATTTTGACTTTCTCCTACTATGATGCTGACGCTGGGTGCTTGTTACAACAACTTGGTCGGAAAGACCTGATTGCCCAGCATCAAATTCAAGTAGCTTTAATGGTGTTCAAAGCTCTTAATGATCTGGCTCCTGACTACTTATCTTCTATGTTTACTGAGCGCAGTAAGTCAGGCTATGTCTTAAGGGCCTCTACAAACAAATTAAATGCCCCCCTTGCCTAGCCTCCCCGCAGACGTCCTTTGGGGTTCGTTTGTCACGCATTCATTTCTACCCCACGGACGTCTGCTAAACACAGCCGACTTTTACGTTCTGGATTGTTTGAATAAGCCAATAAGCGGTTAGTTATTGTGTCTCGATCAGCCAATCACGCGCTGTGATGTAAGTGATGTCTCTGGTATTCTCAAATGAATGATTTATTTGCACGGCTATCTTCTACATGAGACGACTCAAACGTTTTGAAAAAATCACAGAAACGATGCAATAAAGCTGCAGTCACCTGTATATTTTTTTCGGAAGCTGTGACTATAAAATAATCTGCTTTTCTTTGAAAGACTTCAGACAACATTCTCCCACACGAGCGCGGAGCGGTTTTCAGCGCGGTCGAAAACAATAATTACTATTAACTCTGTATTTTTTCGAAGTATTAAGAAAAGAGAACTTATAAACGTGTAAAGGGAAGATATTCAAAGCATTCTTCGAAAACAAAGGCCATTTCCTTTTTTGCGAAATGTAATTCCACCAAGGTCATGGGTCGCGAACCAAGGACCAGTACGCAAAATTTGGTTATATTTTTTCAAGAGTCGGTAAAACAAAAAATTCGAAGTCTACAGCAATGTGCTTCCAACGGCAGAAAAAGGTTTATCTGAAAACTTGTTCTGCAAAAAGGCACGTCCTCCCGTTGAGTTTTATTTATTCACAAGCTAAGTAAACATGACCACGGTGCCGCCGAGTCCAAACTTCAAGCTAGAACGACAAATTAACCTACCTGTCAACAAACTTTATCTCGCTCCTTCAAAGAAAGAAAGAATGCTTATAATCAATAAATCATTGAACCTTTCATTGTTCATTGTATTTTATTTCTCGACGAAATATTTAATCATGCTCGGGAAAGTCGCCGACGTACCAAGGACCACATACTAACTGTACAAGTCACTCGCTAACATTTCCTCCACCGATCGATCTTCAACCAAGCTTCTGGGCTTCCGTAAACAACAGAGAAAGTCCCTCTCTCGACAACCCTCATATTCTCTTTGCTAATATCACTGAGCGTTACAGCAGGAATACCAATATTTTCCAGCTTTGTAGATTGATCTTTCAAGATTTACCAGGGGAGAAACAACATCAACAGTAATGTCCAGTAGTTCCACGCACGGTGTCGCAAACAAGCAGCAAAGCTTGAGAGATAAGGGATTTGCCAAATCCCGTCGGCAAATTTATGAACTCATCGGTCTTCGCTATAAAATTTGCAGGATAGCTTCTCTCTGAAATTTTTTTAACTCTGTATTAATTACAAATTTCTCGCACACTCGATCAAAAGCCTCACTGATCGTGCCAATCTTACGAAGCGGCTCGGGTTACGTTTTACAAAAGTCCGTAAACGGCCTGTGATTGGTGAACGTAAATGTCGGCTGTGTTTAGCAGACGTCCGTGGGGTAGAAATGAATGCGTGACAAACGAACCCCAAAGGACGTCTGCGGGGAGGCTACCCCTTACCAAGAACAAACTATCTAAAAAGGAGCTTTAGCTATAGAGGTGCAACTCTCTGGAACAGTCTACCCTGCAATCTTAGGCAAGTGAAATATCTAAATCGTTTCAAGCATTTGTTAACCCTTCATTTTAGTTAATTAAGTTAGATACACGGCATTCATGGAAAACAGGTCTAGTTTAGGGTAATTATGAGTAGTATTTTTACTGAAGAGACTCTTTAGATTCGTATTTATTGTTATTAAATATTTTTATGCAGTGGTATTTTATATTGTACCAAAAAGCCTGATGAATTTTCACCGTGTTAAAATCAATATTTGAGATTTGAGATTTGAGACACCCATTTTTAACGCAGAAGACGAGACTGAACCAAATAACCATCGGCCAATATCTTTATTGTCTAACCTTAGTAGAATATAAAAGAATGAAATCTTTCCGTAAATAAAAAATAAAATTTTGAATCCCTCTCAGATGCAAAACGGGTTTCGTGAAGAACACTCCAATCAACGTGCAATTATTTATATCGTAAATACTATTCAAACACATGGACAAACGCCCATATTCGTGTGGTGTCTCTACAGACCTAAAAAAAACCATTCGATATAGTAGATCATACAATATTTCCTGGAATAATGAATAACTGTTTCTCATATCCGCAAGACCGAACACGAACAGCACAAATTGGTCCACACATCTCTGAAAGAACCGTATCACTTTGCGGAGTTCCGCAAGGATCTGCATTGGGCCCGTTATTGTTTTTTATACGTTAATGGTATTTACAGCTGATGATACTTATATCTTATATGTCGAACAAAATTCTTATCAAAATAATTCATTGTAACAAGGCGTTGATACTCAATTACATAAACTATGCTGCTGGCCGACTTTAAACAAATTAACATAACTTAAGGAAGATCAAATTTTCAAGTCATTTTCCGTTCCTTTAAAAAAAAAAAAAAATTCGGCCCATAATAAGGTTATTCCACAGAGCTCACAGCCAAAAAAGAAGAACGTCCCCTCGGATTGTAAAGAATATGTAAAATATTATCGATTGACTATAACCTTTCTTGGAAAACCATATTGAGAAAATTACTTTCAAAATCAGTGAAACTGTAGGTCTAATCACAAAACCAAGAGAATGCCATCTACCTTTTTGTTCACTCCCAGATGTTTATCAGTCATTAATTGTTCCTTATTTAACTTATAGACTATCTGCTTGGGGCCAGGCCTTAAAATCCTGTTTAAAACGTTTAGAGCAAATATAAATATTACAAAAACGTGCACTGCACTTCATGTAATTTGCCAAGAAAAACAAGCATACCGTTCAGCTGTTTATTAATGCTAACCTCGTACCACTTAACATTTTTTCTATGACAAAACTTTATTTGAATTGATACACGACGACAGAAATGCGTCAGCACTGACTTGGGACTTAGTCAGACTTCAGACTACTGACTTCTGTATTTAAGTCAATGTAAAATGGAGATTTCAAGCCTTATTTCTAGCGAGGGATGGAGCAGACTACATGGTAAGCGAAACAAACCATGTGTTTGCGACAGTGGGTTTTTCCTTGCCATTTTCCTTCCTACACTTATTTCCGAAAGCAAATCAGCATAGCCATTTTAAGGCGTAAAAGCAAATGTCAATGCGGCCGCTGACGGCGTATGTTGCAAACGAATGCTCCCCGTAAAACTTCACCAGTCGGCCTAATTAATACCTTTTTGGCTTTTTACATTTTGTCCGTGTATACACAGAAAACAAAAACAAAAGCAAGATTATTACGGAGCTGCCTATGGCATGCCTAGTGAATGATTCTGTTCCGTCGGTCGTCTTCTTTAGAAAAAGATGAACACTGCTACTGACCCAGTATGCCAGAAGGTGTTGTGTGTTTCCGCATAGCATGTTTCTTTTCTTCTGTTTGAAATTAACAGGCTTGCCAGTGTTTGGAAGTCTAAACTTCGGATAAGGATAAAGAAGGATCGGAGGACAAATTTCGCACAGATGTTCACCCATATCCGAAGCTACTGGTTTAGCGAGAGGGCAAATAAGCGAGGAAGCTTCCACAACTTTGCTTAAAGCTTCACCGGGAGCTCAGCAAATACCAGCTTCAGGAAAACATGGTGCTTAGGCAAGTTACTTACAGTTACTTGACGTACAAGGTTTGGTTTGGTGACCATCGTAGAGCTTACAGTTTTTCTCAATGTAACCCAGATTTTTTGCTTTTGTTTGTATCTGTATCTAGAAAAAAACTTTCGGAGGAGTCAAGAACAGGATAGTTTTTCTCCGTGTCTTCCATAAAAATACGTTAGTCAAGGCTGAGACAAATAGCGAACTCAAGCGAATCTCATAACCGCGGTACAAGTTTGCTGTCGACCCCGATATCGACTGTTTGATCTGCTAACATTTTTTTTAAAGTACGCAGTAAATTAAATGTCTCGCCAAAATTTGAGTAATCTTTAAACTTTTGGAGGTTGCAAAATGCAAACGAACTAATTCATTTAATATGAAGAAAAATAACAAGAAACTAAAAGGAATTATGATCCGTTATCGTGCAGTCGACTATAAATATTAGATTATCATTTACTTATAGTCTTAGTACAATCTGTTGAATGAGGCCCGCGAATCAGGATGGGTTTAGCGCGGGTTAATTCCTTAAATAAGCTGTTGGCCGTTTGTGGTGATGCGGTATAAATTTAATATACACAGATTAGTGCAGACTCAACGGCTCTGATGTACGCAAAACAGTACGCCATGTTACAGACTAGACCATGATTCATTGCGCACCTTTTAACGCTATATAACGGTCACGAAATGTCTAAACACTACACTATATGTTCAATTAAACGTCTCTTTTACAATATTTATGTCTAGCCTAGGTTTATGGCTTTTGAGTAGATTTTTTTAAAACATTTTGCTTGAACATTATTAATTCCCTCACGTGGTTCTGCGATTCACGTATTTCTAGTCGTCACGTTACGTAGTATTATAAAAGCACTCGGAACTGTATATTTCTGAGCGTTAACATAGCGGGTTTGGGCTGCGTTAAGTGGTTATTAATTTTTTGTAGATGTTTTTCTGTTCATGAATCTGACATGGCTTTGAAATTTCCAGTATCCATATTTCTCTTTCGTTTCCCAACATTTTGCTTTGTTTTTTCTAGTCTGATTGCACTTCAAAGGTAAAAGGGAAGGTACATAATATCTTGTTGAAATGTTACCAGGTAAACTGTGAATCATTTCAACCGAGCTTTAGTTTGAAAGACTGACAAATACTCAATGTATTGGCCACTCTTGGCGAGACGTGTACCCTCCAACTGGTCGCTGTTATTGAAATATCAATACCTTGCAAATCTTAAATGCTCTATAACATGTATTTTGAAGTCGATTTTCATTTCCGGGTGGTCTATGGTACAACATTTATTTAGCTAATTTTATCATATATTCCGTCAAGATAACCGTGAATGATTGTAGTTATAAAAAGGGCGACAAATAATACGAAACAAACTTCATTTTCTTGATATTTACCCTATATGCTCATTTTCCGTTACAAAACGGCGCTCCTTTTCAGCTAAGGTCTTAAGAATGAAAGCCCCAAGTTGTTAGTAAAGTAGTTCTCTTTTCTTCATTGTCTGGATTTAAAATAGACCCAGGCGACAACCCAGTTAAGTAAGTCTTCTTGAAAATATAGGGTATTATTTACTTCTGCATTTTGTATTGCATATATTTTCGACCCATTATACTCATGAAAAATTCCTGACTAAAACAAGGCCGGCTATCAAGTTTTTATAACCCAGAAAAAATGATTGTCAAATAGATTACCTTATAAGGAAAGGGAAACAATTGAAATACCAGTTCCGTAGATTTATTTTGGTTAACGCATAAAACATTAACCTGGCTAAACAAAGCAGGCCTCTTATTTCCCTAGATGATGTCACCCTATTGTAGGTAACTGAACAGCCCTGTTTAAGCTTCAATGAAGGTCGCGAATTTGTTTTCGATTTGGAGTTTGTGCCTAGGGGAACAGTGCAAAACCTCTCTTCGGAGTCAATGGAAGAAGGTCAGAGAAAGCCATCCCAAGAAAGGCTTTCTGGCAGTAATGATGAAGAAGGAGATGAGAATTCAAAACATCGCTTCCATTGTAAAATCAACCGAAAGCGACTGGTGTCCAAACTATTTTACCTGTTCTACTTCTCGGCTTTTGGATCGATTTGGCCTTATTTATCATTGTACTTTAAGCAATTGTTCTTATCACCCCGACAGCTTGGAATTCTTGTGGCGGTTCGATGTCTTGTTCAGTTTATTTTTACACCCGTTTGGGGAGCTCTAGCGGATCGATTCAACAAGAGTAAATTAGTGTTATTATTAGGTTTATCAGCGTGGTTATTGTCAACATTTTCTTTGGCCATAATACCCATAGGAGAAACACCAAAAGCCTGTTATGAAATGAACTCACTTTCTCTATCGTTGTTCCAAAATACTTCCGGCAAGCACAGCAATAACTTCACAAGCTTAACTACACGCTCAAGACCTAAAAATCACCCTCAACATGCTTCGAAACTTTCTTACGAGTCCGTTTTTGGATACAGCAGATACCTTCCTTGGGCATTAAGCTTTTTTTCAAGTGATTACGAGGCTGAGAAATCCACAAAGCTCAAGGAAGATACTTTTCCAGACATAAAATATCATCCATCACCTGAGAAAATCTCAGATTCGTCGAGATTGTTCATTTTAACAGTTTGTATTATGGTAGCTGGACAGATTTTTGCATCTCCTACCCAGTGCCTCGCAGATACAGCAACACTTCAGATTTTAGCAGAGGACAGCCGTGAATATGGAAAGCAAGCTTTCTGGGGTTCTGTCGGCTATGGTTTGACAGCTTTTATCGTTGGTACTTCTATAAGCGGGCAGAAAACCCTTAATCCTTGCAGCAAGGAGATGGACACCAATTACATCCCCTGTTTTTACGTGTTTGCCTGCTACATGATAGCAGCTTTGATAGTAGCAAGTCGATTTCGATTTAAACCGGTTGATGACTCGCAGTGCAAAGAAACTGCAGTTGGCGGTTTAAAAGTTTTAAAAAATTTTGACTATGCTTCCTTTTTATTCATTGTATTTTTTTGTGGAACAGCCTTTGGATTTATACAGACATTTCTGTTCTGGCATCTTCGTGAACTTGGCGCTCAACAAACCCTTTTTGGTTCAATTATTTTAGCGAACAGTACTGCAGAAGTGGTAATGTACTTATTATCTGAGCGTCTTCTTCGCAACATTGGTCACTTCCGGGTCATATACCTGGGACTTTTGTGTTATGCATTACGTTTCTTTTATTACTCGTACTGTTCCAGACCATGGCTGTTCTTGCCCATAGAATTCATCCAAGGAATAACAACTGCGGCTGTGTGGTCATCGTTTGTTTCTCATGTGGGTGCAGAACCTGGAGTGGCCACGACACTTCAAGGGCTTGTTAATGGATTTTACACTGGTCTAGGCTACGCTAGTGGCGGGCTTCTGGGAGGTGTCATGGTGCACCAGTTCGGTACCAGTACGGCCTTTCTTATCTTTGGAGAGTTTAGCTTAATAGTTCTTTTTCTGTTTATTGTAGTTAACAATGTTCGACAAACAGGCGGAAAGAAGAAGGATGTTAACTTACAGACTGTTAGCAAAGCGAATGATTTTAAATAGTAGATTATCCATGCATTTGGCAGACGAAAAAGTTAAAATATACTGTGTTGACAGGTTCTTGTATTGTTTAAATAGTCGCGTACGTGCTGCTCCAAAGGTTGTTTCATGGAATCAACCTTTTCCTTAAAATATCACTGAACACTCCTCGCCTATCAAAATACTGAACCAGCAAATTTCGATACCAATTTTTTTCATACCTAAAAAAAATCCAAGCGAAATTGTAAAGGTAGTGATTTTGCATCCAAGAACTTATACATTACACTGTATAAATTAGACACAACTTCCCGAAAATCTTTTTCTCCGCATCCCAAACGTAAAGCCCAGCTATGAAGTACAAACGCTGATTAATGAAATGTGTTGGGCGACACACATCATTGAACTGACATTACTTTGGCGGCTTTGCATATCGTGTCCATGGCAAATGAACTAAAATGTATTTTTTATTTCCCAATTTTAACTGAAACAGAAGAATCAGCGAACATTATACATTGATTAGGTTTTTCTACAGATGTGAAAAAAATGATAGCGCGAGAATTCTTAAATAAAGAAAAATACCGCTGTTGAAAAGGGTTATTTAATTTTTACATTAATAGTGCATTAAAACTATATATTAAGAAAATCTTTTTTCTCTCAGTCCTTATTTGGAATGTGAAAAAACATACAAAAATTTAGAATTTTAACCCAAAAGCATAGGCTAACCCCTCTCTCCCCGAATCTCCAATTGGCCAAAATTAAAATCTTTATAGCCTGCATTGGTGATATTTTTAGCACTAATAGAAGATCACAAATATCATTTCAAGGTCCCATTTGACTATACACATACGTAGAAGAAATTGTGCAAATGTGCAAGAGAAATCCATCAAAATTCCTTACCTTGTTTTACTCTGTTAGCATTTTAACGCACCGACAAACTTAATGTCAAGGTCCATTTTGACCTTAAGCATACAAAAGAGAAAGCCTGAATTTGAAGTAAAAGGAAAGATTACCCGTTCAGAAATATCCAAAACGATTCCGCCCAAAATCGAAATCTTCGTACAATAGAACCTAGATATGACGAACTTCGAGATAATTAACGACATTCTTCGCCTCCACTATAGAATGATTCTTAATTAAATGTTGTGAGCATTCTCAAATACTTTGGTCATCGGAATTTCGATCAGTGAAAAGGAGCTTTTTTTACAGTTTACTAGCTATGAGTTAAAGTGTCAGTAGCATTAAAATGAGGCTGTGGAAAGTAACGGCCAACGCTCCTTAGATTGTCCGTCCACCTAGCAAGTCGCTGGTTTCAGTTTCTCCTTGAGATCATGTGGTTTGCAAAGTAAGCTCTGTCCCTCGATCTTCAGCCTGGTAATAATTTGGATACACCCTTTTGAAACCCTAACCAAGTGCTTGGACCCAGGGGTTCGTTCCCAGAAAGTCCCAATAACTTTTAAAACGGAACCGAAGCCATATCTTCCAAAACAAATCTAAAGAATTGTAGGGTACCTTCAACTATCTCTCTAAAAGTATCAAAATCTTGAACTAAAATGCAAACACGGCAAGCATAAATGTACGTAAAACGGTTTTCAGTGCCCTTTATTTTCCGGGATTTTCGAGAAAAAGGTCTCCGAGCCAATTCTGAGACCGTCAAAACCTGCCAACAGACTGGACTAGTAAATGAACCACCCCTTCCAAAGGCATATGCTACTTTACTGTTGTCAGGGGCCACACACCATACACTTTTGGCGGACGGTACATGGTAAATTTGCGAATTATGTAAAATTGATATTACGGCATATTACACATGACAACAGTTGTAACTGGCGTTTGGATTTGTTAAGGTTTGTAAATGTTACTTCTAGCTTCTGCCATTTCGCGTAGTGATCGTTCTAAGTCCACTTTCTTGTCATGGACAGCATTACAACTGTAAAGGTTACACATTCGCACTCTAATATGTCTGCCTGAGCAGTGATGAATCCCATGAGATGAAGAGAGACTGCTACAGTTTCGTTTGGTGTAACGAAATCCTCCTCCACATGTAGCAGAACAACTTGACCACTTGGACCATGGTGACCATCCACCACCTGTGGCTGCTGGAATAGAATATTGACCAATTAGCTTTTACTCAGGAATAGTTCGTGGAATCAGATCACCTGCAATAACATGTGCTTAGTGACCTTGGTAGCTGTTATCCACCACCCTCTTCGATCTGTATAGTTTTTCTCATCATACACAGCCTCATTCAATAATTGTTTTTAAATAAAATGGCATACCTAATATAAGGATTTGACCTCGAGCTAGGTTTTGACATAAATTTAATACCGGGTTTAAAGATCTTTGAATATACGAGTATTTAAATAGTCCTAGAGTTGACGTTAACTTAGAGAAGAACAAGGAAAAAAACAAACAAACAAACCTTCACTGTCATTTCTCCTGGATTCAATTTCCTTCCCTTGTTTTCTGCTCATCATAACCTCATGCTCTGTCAACTTTTTGACAAGCTTTGTCAAAGTTTTTGCTGTCTCTGCAAGATTTGCCGCCGTTTCAGCGTTTTTTAGCATTGCCTTGTATTGTTTTTTCTTAGCATCGTCGCTCTTTCTGTCGTCGCCTTCATCAGCAGTCATATCGACATTGGTGGAATTGTCTTTCTTTGTTGCTGTCGTTACAGAATGGAGCTCAAGAGGATTTTCAACTGCGAGGTGTTTATTTTTTGAAAGCTGTTTAGCCATCATTGCATAGTTTGAGATACTAGTGGCAGAATGGCCTAAACCAAAGGAACTTAATGCATCTTTCGCTTTTAGTCTAGAAGCAATTATAGAGGAAAGAGTTGGAAGACCTTGACTATCAGCATTTGACATATAATTACTGTCATAGTTCTTATACTCCACCATGGCGCGGGATGGCTCTGATTCGTCTTCTTCAGAAGACTGGTTCAAGTATCCGGCATCATAAGATGTTGTTTGATCTTCATCGCCTGTAAAAGCCACATCGCCTTTGTTAGCATCTTCTTTATCTTCAGCACTATCTCTAAAGCTTTCCATCTCATCGGTGTCGAACAAAGACGAATCTGTGCTGAAGTTGTTTTCTTCAAGTGGAGCTTCTGGTAAATGTTCTTCAAAGTCGTTCATTTGGCGACTGTTCACTGGAACAATATAGGGAGTTGCCTGGTCGTTGCCGTTTAAGAGGACAGTTGAAGGTTCTTTTAAAGAAGCGAGTTCGTTTGTCCCTTCTAAGTGAAACATCGGTGACATTGCGACCGCTGGACCAAAGTTGGAAGCTGCAAAATTTCCAAGTGGTACGAGCACTTGCTGCTTCTTTACTATGTTACTTATGTGACTGGAGTTCCTTGGTGTTTTCGTAATACCTAATAAGGAGGTAAGAATATAGCTTATACCTCGATGTTGTTGGTCAGATCGTGGGGGAAATCGTAAGCGAAAGGTCAAAATCGCTACTGTCATTCTATGTGAAGAACTGACAAATAAGACGGTAAAAAAAAATAGTCCCCTGGTCTGTTGTTTTTCAAGTTAAGTGTAAAAAAAGAGCAGCTCAGTTCTTTAAAAGTAACTGCCCAAACAAGGAGAAATTTTCCTGCAAGGGCCCTACAATTTCACTTGAAAGCTTGAAACAAACATAACTTTCCCTCCTCGACGGCTTACCTTTCGTCAGAGAGCAGTCACTTCTAACAATGTAACATAGCAATAGCAAAAAAAATATGACGTTCATGCTTTTCATGACAGCGAAAATCCGTGAAACAGTAAAGAAGAAAGCATTGACTTGACTACCTAAAAGTAAACCAAATGCAGTGTGTTAGAATGGTATATTCCTTGTTAAGTGTTGTAGGTATCAATCAAAACTTTCACACTAAAATCACACCATAGTTTCCGTTAAAAAAATGGTCAAAGTTGAACGTCTAAAAATATTGAAACGGTTGATTATAAGGTGATTACTTTTAATTAAACAACTAGTGAAGGCTAAACAAATTATATTTGTCATGATTGAAAATTCATCGAAACATCATTTGATTTACTCAATCTTGTCGTTGTTTATCGCTGTCAAGACGAGGACTTATTCAATTGAATAGTTTTTGGATCAGAAACGAAATATAATACACATGCATTCTGAAGTTGAAAGAAGTAATACTCTCAGACGATTAACAGTACACCAAGTGCTGATTTTGGCGAAGTAAAGGTTTGATTCATTTTATTTCGTAAAAACGTATACAGGTGGATGGTAATTGAGAATCAAACACTCGCATAACGAAAAGACTAAACAGTTTGCTGCTTTGATAGATAAAACTTTAAGGAGATAAATTTTTACTCAACATAGTAATCAAAATGCCGTTTTAATGGATGATTTTACTACTGTTAAGTGTTTAGTTTACTTTTCGCTTTTGTCTGAAACATCAACGTCTGAGGGATGTAAAATAAAGGACAGAAGTCAGAACATACCTGCTCTGTCTCAAACTGCAGCAGTATGTGATTTCTGATAAGGAGTGATTACCTGTAAAGTCAATAAAAACTCTTGTCTGTTTGATCAACTCATTCAAAATGGACAAGATACGTCCAACAAAAGATTAGCTATGCTTTAAACAACCTGTTTGTTTTATATTCAGAAGCATGTGCAACTGGTACCCGATATTTGGAAAATAGAAGAAAACAGTCCATTAAACCAACATAAGGGGCGTGTTAAAAGAAAAGATAATAAACTTCTAGCTTAGTCTTGAAATGAAAAAAGTAGGGTAGGTGTGGTGTTTGTGATAACAAGCATGGGACAAACAAAAAAAACAGTAAATAGTACGTAACAATCCGCGACTGACTGGTGGGCTATCTCGAACCAGCTAGGCTACTAGGCATTACCAGAAATCGGCGACATTTTGCGCCCGCGAAGTATTTGGCACGCGGTTTCAAATTATCAAGGTGGCGGCATAAAGAAAGCAGTACGTAGAAAAAACAAGGACTGAAATGACACACTATCAAAGGATCTGAATCAATTTAATTTCTTTTTTGAGGTAATCAATACAAGGGAGAATGAAAAAGGGGAAACTAGAGTCCGGGCTCCTGTTCGAATGACGATTTTAGAGAGAAGAAACAACTTCGTTTCATGCGTGACTTGAATAATTTTCAAAAATCAGGGCCCACAGTACACTTAGCCAGCGATATTCTGTATAATAATAATCATATATGAAGTACATTCCTGTAAAGATGGCGATCAAAACAAACTGGAGACAGAAACCCTACTTTTCACAAGGAATAATAAGCGCAGTGGTGCATTTTGTGCCGCTTTTATCGCAGGAATGGATGTATTTTTACCTCTTTTATCGCAAATTTTGCGGCCATTTGGGGAATGGATCAAGGCTGATTTTTAACACGTTTTAAAGTTTGAACATCGATCGATGATTAGAAAGGTCGGCACCAAGGATTCACATCAACGAAATGTTCTAAAATGTGGAGAGAAGGTAGGCACCTCTAAGCTTTTTTGAAAGAATTAGAGAGTTCAAGGAACTGTAACAGCCGTTCGTAAAATGTGTTGTTTGCGGCCCGTTGGCGAACTTTACTTTCGAGAGACCAAAACTACCGTAAATAAACTATACCATGCATGTGAAATGTAAATCTCCAGCCGTTTACAGCACACACGATGAAGTCTAGACTTTAAAGGTGAAGAAGTTAAAAGAGGTATGTAAAGACTATAACGATCGGCGGCCATTCTTAGAGAGCAGAAGGTCTGGGTCGAGTCTGGGCGTCCGCCATTTTGTCTTAAATTTCTGGTAATGAATGTCGAGAAAGCCAAGTTATTCACATAATCCATACTTTGATTGACAAGGGCCACGTATTCAAATAATCAGCCGACCTACAACACTAAACTGAAAGCCTATCAGACCTGTGTCCTCAGCACTTTGCTCTATGGTGTTAAGTCAGCTGCAGGACATATTCCAGATACGAATTACGACTCCCCTGCGAGCGAACCATCATCGAAACAAAATTTTTCCTAAGGCGTGCGCTTCCCATCAGCTTGGATATATTGCTGCGTCAAAATCGTCTAAGCTAGCTTGGATAGGACTACAGAACGGAAGATTGCCACATGACGAAAGGCATGTTGTTAGGAGAGGTTGCATTTAACTCATGATTTTTTGACTATTCACCGCTGTTTTGTTAGGAAGATTGACGGACGAACAGAAGCCATATTCCCTGAAGTTTCTCTTTAAATAATGCAAAATTTGAAACGTTGAAAGTGCGGTCATGACATAAAAGAATTATTGTGTAAAAAAGGACGTTATAAGAGAATGTAAAACACTCTTTTATGGACCAAAGCGACAGCACGGTTTGCCACTATTGACACAATCCTCACGATTATTACCAGCCGCTGTTCGGAAAAATGAGCCCGCAATCATCCCCTCGAAAGAGCTTCGGGGAGGATCAAAGACCGGATCCGAGAGACGGCGGAAATCGAGCCTACACGATTATTGGACAAAGAAAACTCTAACAGACTTGAACCCAAGACCTTCTGGGTTTTGAAATTGGTCGGATTCGCTAACTAACATGCGGAAGAGTATGGGGCAAAGCTAGGATAAGCCACAACTTCTGTTTTTATTGGTAATTAAAATTGTTTTGTCACAGCTAAGCCATAGAATCACTCGTCAGTTATTTCGTGGAAGCTAAGAAATGGCTCAAATAGGATATTAACTTCGCGAAGTAGTATAATGGATTAAGGACATACGCAGTTTCGGTGCGAAGTATATTTAATTTAGATCATTGTTTGAGGTTATAGTTACATGAACTTTGATTAGTTTTACATTGATTTCTGATTTTAGTTTGAGATTATAATTCTGTAGTTAGGTGGTGTCCCCTTTTACATTTTCCATCTTCTGATTAAAGCGATCCAAATTTTTGGTATATTTATGATAATTAAAGATATAATCCAAAAAGACGGTAGACTACGAGCAGTCTCTCTTTTTTCTTGGTCTGTCGAGCAAAACGCCCGAGACGCGCAAATGACCACGCGCGTGACTTAACTAACCCTAACTTCGCGCGCGCATGCACTCCCCTTACTAAATCTGAAGAAAAAGAGAGACTGCTCGCAGTCTAAAAAGACTGAAATATCGATCAGAGTTTTGCCTCGTGGAAAACCTTTTTGGTGCTTAAGATATTGAATGGTAATCGAAGAAGCCAGACTTCGTGATAGCAGCAGGATGCAATTCATCTTATCATTGGAATTGAATTTAAGGGAATACCGCCTAGGTGTGAAGAGCTACAGAGGAAGTAAGTCAAGCCTTTGAGTTTTTGGCCTGTTTACATAGATGATCCCGTCCGAGGGCGAGTTCTCATGCATTTTTATTTTGCTTTTTCTTGTTTTTCAATTGTTTGTATGGTTGATGTTCTCGTCCCGAACAACAAGGTAAATCATTCTGGGAAGAACAATACACATTTCCCCAAAGGATCGTGTAAACGTAAGTTAAGTCAAGGAGTAAACCAAAACACAAGATGTAACTCATAGCTAATTCATATCGGGAAGAAAATAATGTCCTGTCTCTTGTGTTAATTTGACTGAACTGTGAAAAAAATTTATGGGCAAAATGTTTCTTGAAGTATTTTTTCCTTGTCCACACTTGTAAATGGTTGACAACCTCACATGCCACAGGTTTGTTTGACCTTTAAAAATTCTGTTTCAATACAAAATAAATCTTGGGCAAGTTAAGGAAAAAATGCCTAGACGTAACTGGTTCGTGTAGAAAAAAAAAGTCAAATTATGCACTTTCTTAAAAGAGCTGTGTCATGAAATTCATCAAAATTCAATCCTCTCTTGGTGGCAACTGCCTCCAACATAAATGACCGCCGCTCAAAACATTTAAAGAAGGAATAAATGACACAGTAAATACAAAAGGAAGCATGGATAAACAAACTTGAAGAAGATTGAAACGGATTGCAATTGTGGTTTCAAAAGATGTTAGCCTAGTATTTTTTTTCAAAGTTAAGTTTTGTTGTTTGTAACGTTTGATATAATGCTTGGGAGACATATTTGTTTGACAGAAAGCTGTAACATCTTTAGTTTCAAGCGAATAAGGACGCGTAACAACCTCGTTCCCAGGTTTCTTTTTCTACCCGTCGCTCAGTAGGGACGGGAAGGAGAGAATCCTGGGAGTGAGGTTGGACGCGTAACTGGCATGATCAACAAAATGAAATAGCTGGTCGTGACACAGCCCGTTTGACAAGAAACATTTAGAAAAAGAGACAATTATAAAAATACACAAAAGATTCATATTCCAGAGTGTAGAACCCTTATTAAAAATACCTTAATGTCTTTTCAAGCCAGCTATCTTCCTAGACTTGCGAATCGACTTTTTGAAAGTATTTTGAACTGGCTTTTTAAGTGAATTTTTCAGTGATAGTTTGAAAGACTTTTTGAGAGCATTTTTGAATTTCTGAAATTCACTTGGTCGCTTTAGCTTCCTCTTAAACGGAATCAAGCTTAATTTGTAACGCTGAATACGAAACCCAAATGGAATAAGCTTGCGCCCTATTGCGGATCCATGATGCACTTGGCGGTGTCGGGCTGGATACACCACACGCAGTCTCTTCATTTTTTCTCCATTTCTTCCAGTTTCAGTCATGCGCCCCCTTTTTACTTTTGCATGAACTCTAGAACCTTTGTGGGAGGTTGCTGAGAAAAAAAAGAAAAGTTGTTTAAGTTAAAGACAAGTACTAAGTCGTTTGTCTCACATTCACGGTATAAATGAAGATGATGTGAATTGCGGAAATACAAATTTTAAATGAGGATATGGTCGTCGTAGTTTTAATTGCAATTTAAGCAATTGCAAATTAACCCCCAAAAAATTTCGGGGCATCAATGGGATTGGAACCCTTGGCCTCTGCGTTAGAGCTGCAGTGCTCTTAATTGAGCCATGAGCTAGAGCTAACCTAGAGGCCAAAAGTTTGAATCCCGTTGAAGTCCCAAAATTTTTTTCGGGTACGTTTAATTTACAGTTGCTTAAATTGCAATTACCACCGCGACGATCATATCTTCATTCTGGTTTTTTTGCACTGTACGAATTCTTTCTTGATCAGTTTCTTATTTATTAATTTAGTTTTTAATTTACATTAAACTTTATTGGAAAAATAATGCTGAAAAAACACAGTTTCTGTAAATTAGGCGAAATGGATTTTTAGTGCCTATTATTAAGAACAATTTAAATTGACTTACGCACAAGACTTCTTTCAAAAAACATTGTTTCTGGGCCGTTATCGCCACGCAAATCCACGCTATGGTCAAATGAGTAAGGATACCAGCCTGTTATTGGATTAAACCACCAGTTTCCTGTGGGGAAAAGTTGTTTCATTTCAAAGAGTACTGAGATAAAAGAACTGAAACCGACGTTATTTCTCTGGTCAATAACGAAACTCCATAATGTCACAGTGGGCCTCTACTATCAAGACTGCTTTTTAAAATATCTTGAACTGATCTGAACTGTATATCAGAGGCTCCGCATATTGAATTCAGGGAAGCAATACCGGAGCTTAAACAATGTCATTGGCGTCTTCCGATTATTTGGATAATTGGTCAACCATTTCAGATATCCAATTAAGCTAATCAAAGGGCTGATAGTTCAAATGTGAGTTCGTATTTTAACCAGTAATTCATAATAAATATTATATAATTTACACCTGATGGTTCATCTGCTTCGTTCACAGTAAACACATGACTTGTATGGCTCATTTGATGTATTTACAAGAAAGACTTTCTTTGTTGCTCATATTACTTGTAATTACACAATTGAGCATTAATCGAGGAGTCTGTTTACCGGTAGATCTGTCTTCTAAATTCGCTAGTATTACCTATTCACTTAGTCCCGACTTCACGTCAACTTTACGTTAAGGTCACCCCCGGCCCCCCCTGCACACTCCCCACCTCTATTCTAGACCAGACACTTTTTATTTTTCTTCTGCGTACGTTTTTAAACCTCATCCTACCTTTCATAGCAAATGATGTGTCTGCGTCTCTCTGTGCATCTTTATTTACATTAAAAAAATTGTTTTTTTGGCTCATTTGATTTTTTTAAAAAAAAGATTTTTTTTTTTGCTCATTTTATTTTTAATTAAACAATTGAGCTTTATTCGGGGGTGTTTTTTTCCGGTAGTTTTTTTTTTAAAATTCCCTATTTTTCCCTTTTCCCTTATCCCCCCCTTCCCCCAAACTTTCCTTTAAGGTCCCCCCCCCCCCCCCCCCCCCCCCCCACCCGTCCTTAACGTCCACGTACACTTCTTTAAGGTTACCTGGTTTTTTTTGATAACGTCACGACCACCGTGATGTAAGATGTATTCTCTAAGCTGATGTAAGAAACATGAAACTGTTATGAGTTTTCTTTTGTTCAAAAATGATCCGCACTAACGTTAAGTGCCTTTTCCCAGCCCCTTGCCCCTTTCCCCTTAAATGTCCCCTTCCCCTAATTGTCTGTAACGTTAAGCGGGGGATCTCAAATTTAAATGGTCTAAAAAGTATCCTACTAAAATGGCGTCACGGATCAACAGTTTTTACTCCAAGCTCTGCGTCCGTCATTTTCCAGTCAAATTGCTATGCTATCAGGCATTTGAGAACGACCACAAATTTGGCAGGTCCGCGGAGACTTCCTTAAATGAAGTCAATTATCATTTTTATTGATAACGTACCATCCCTACGGCTATACCCATGCCTATGAAAGAATCCTCTACGGTCACTCCCATGTCCTAATCCATACCAAAAACCAGCTGTTCGATGTCTCCAGGGTGGTCTACGTCCATAATGGCGGTGGTATCCATATCCGAAGGCATGCCCAGGTAGCGGACCGTACCAAGGACCAGATACAAAGCCATGTGCGTAAGGATAATTAACACCATATCCAAAACTGGGCCACAAGCGGTGCCTGTAAAATCGATGGTGTCCAAACGGTCCAAGTGGTCCAAAGTGTTCTGGTACATGAACTGGATAAACACCGTCTCCACCGTGGTACACGGGTATATTGAGCGGGTGATGGTGCATCAAATGCTGAACGTATTCACCCGCAGCGGTTGGTACACCGTTTGGCATAAGGGTCATAGTGCGCGTAGAGGGAAGGACGGAAACCACGCTCGGCGGAGCTGCTAACGTGAGCACGTCGTGTTTCTTGTGATTGGATCTGACGTGTTGGTGTTTAATTGGTCTGTGCACTATTGGTCTTACCCATCTCTTAGGTTTATGATAACCTCATGGACGACAACAAATTAGAGTTAATGACCATTCTCGTCAAAGCGAACAGTTACTTTTTGTTTGCTGACATTTTCAAGAATGTAATTACATGCATGCACAACTTTTTAACAAGTATCTTTCTTAGCTTTCAATTAATACGATGCGATGTTGACATCATTTCGGTCATCACATATAAAACTACATAATGTAGTATTTTGTTTAATCATTCTAGTTGGGAACAAATTGAGTGGAAGTCAACAAGTAGCATGTGTATCGACAAGTTTTATAGAAGTTTCTTTCTCGTCAAAAGAAATTAAGTAAAAGTACATACTAGTTCAACTGACAGAGTGTCGACGAAAACGATTAAATCTTGGTAGGACCTACCTTTTGTTCCTTTTGTTTGGACGTTGGCATTTAATGAAAATGCGATTAACAGGGTAAAGGATATGACAATTTCCTTCATTTTACTTCTGGATGAATTAGTCGTCCTCACGAAAGATCAGGTACAAGCAATGAGATGAAGTATTTTAAACAATTAAAAGAAAAAATCTTCGAGAAATTTTCTCTCTTTTGACTTAAACTGGTGTCCTATATTTTGTTTGGTTAGTGAATTATTTCTTTGCTTTCAAACAGGAAAAGATTGCTCCAATACGATAATAAAATCTTACGGGTACAAGATAAAACAAAACATTCCGTAATTCAAACTGTAGGGGGTCGTTTGTGCCTTGTCTTTTGTGTTTTGGTTTTTGTCTCCTTTTTCATCGCGCGGGCAGAACGAACACAAGTTTTCATTTTTCTGATTTGATTCTTTCTAAAAGGTTTTACAACGTTCACTTTTCTCCAAGTTTACTTCATTAAACTATCAGTGTTTTAACAATTTCTAAAAATTCAGCTTATTTATTCATTATCAACAAAAATTAGCTGAAATAGAAACAGACCAAAAACAGGAATCCGTTATTTGTACATCTCCCGGCCAATAATACAACTTGTTTGCCCCCAAAAACTTTCCATAAGCATCGTCTTCAATTTCTCTTGCGACGATTGAAATACCCAGGAGAAATCTTCTGGGGGGCTCATGATATGGTGTATTATGGGAGATGCGCAAATGGGGAATGAGTTATTTATATATTATTACTGAGTAATATAGTCGATCTCAATCCTGATTAAAATTAGTATGGGAATCGGACCTGCCAGTGCAAAGAAGCAATTTGTACAACGTTTTCCCTTTTTGTCAGCTATGTCGAACAACAGCACATTTGGGCTTCTGGGGAGCTTGGTCCACAGCGGATAGTTCAGAAAACCGCAAAAGCTTTGCAAATCAGTCATATTTATAAATAAAGCCAGGGTTAAAAGCGAAACCCTCGTTTATATACTTATAATTTACTCAAACAAAAAATAAAATCGTGTAATGCTAAAAGGCGACGAAAACGAGAACGGCAAAATAATTAATAGGCTCAATTAGCAAAAACAAAAAAGCACACTTTATGGTGAATTTCTTTGCCGTTGTTGTTGCAACGTAAACTTCCTACTTACACGTTCTATGGAGAAAATGTGGTATGTGTTCACAAAAAATTTTGCGCTTATTCCTGTTCCCTTTTTTTTTATCGCTGCCGTTCATTTTCACCTTGCTGGCCGCTAGCATTTCTTATTTTCTCACTGGCGGTATAAAATTTTATGTTGTTCTTCCAACGAAGATCGTCTCGTTTGTTTTTTAACTCTCACTCTTAGGCCTAAGCTAAACGTCGAACTTTTCATGAGACCAACCAAACTTAGTAAGTTAAGTTCATGAAAAGTTCGACGTCTGGCTCAGTTAAGTTCGTTTGAATGAGTCTGCTTCAGATGGATGGAACGTCTGAAGGTCGTCTCCACGACAAACGTCGATCTTCGCATGCGACGATATAAACTAATATATCAAATATTTGTATGCTAACGTATATTTAGCCTCGTTCGGCTAAAATTGATTCTTGGTCTGATTCAGTTGATTGGTCAGGTGCGTCCTAAGTTCGACGTCTGACGCAACAGACGATCTTAACTTAATTTAGGTCGATCCAAATTAGAGTTCAGCTCATCCCATGAAAAGTTCGCCGTTTGACCAAGGCCTCAGTCCTGTTTCGCTCTTTTTCTCGTTGAGCTTCATTTACATGCATGCAGATAAACGTTTTCTCAGCAACTACTTTTTGGGAGGCTTCTTGACCGTGGGTTTTGATTTCATATCCTTCATTGCTTTCATTAATTTTAGTTTTTCAAGTTCCTCTTCTCGCCTTATCTCTGCCATGTTCTCAGCAACATCCTGAAGCGGAGAGCTATGCAGGTTTGCGTTGTTATCCACAATCTGATCTTCCACAAAAGTAGTATCAACGGCTATAGGAAGAAAAAGCAACACTAATTAAACAAAACTAAACGAAATAAATCCGGATTCATTTCATATTTAGAGAAAATGCTGTAAAAATTAAGGATAGGGAAGGAAGAATGTGGGCAAAATTATTACAATCCCAACATAACTTCCTCACCAAGTACCTTTTTTTCTAATGTAATCGTCTGATACCCTAATTACACAGTTTTTGAGGCCAGTTGTAATTGAATCAAATGGTTGTAACTTAATCTTAAGGAAAAATTATTAAACAAAACTCTTACGAAAAAATCTTGTTCCATGACCGTCAAAGAGCATTGACTCTGGGTAATGATATCCATTCGTGCCAGCCGCATGGTATCCCGGATACTGTGGTGGTAATACTGGACGAGGAACAAGTGTTCCTGTTACTGGTTCCTGGTACATGCCATCGTTAGGATCAGCCAAGAAAACTGGTCCTGATACCTGTATCTGGGGCCAGTGAGTATGATAACCATGTCGTAGGCCAAAAGGTATTATGGGACGATATGCTGGAAGTGGGTAAGAGCTGTGAAATCCCGGATGAGGAAGGCGTGGAAGCGGATGAAAGAATGGACTGCCAGGAAACGTAGGGAAACCATGATGAAGAGGGCTTGGTACTCCATGAGGACCGACGAATAATTCATTTTCAGCATATGCAGGAGGTAGGTAGGGTCCTTCTAAGATGGAAGTCGTTACCGGGGGAACCGCCACCACTTCTTGTCGTCTATGCAATGTTCCACCATAAGGGTTGAGCGGATACTTGAATTCAATAACTTGGTTGCCTAAAGTTAATACAGTGAAGGATGCAAGAGGTAATGTGGTATAAGAATATTTTGCACAGATTGAATTGAGATAAAATACCTTAGAGATAGACTCTTTCAATCAATGGGTCAAGTTCCGGAATATGTGTAATTAATGACCTTTAAACCTTTTAACCTTTGATTGAAATCCTGTAATCCTATGGTGTAACTATTCCCGCACAAATGACCGCTTCACAGGTCTTCGCACGGTACCACTTAGTTACCAGAATTTTTCACATTGAAATTTTAGAAAATTTTCCCGCATTTTAACTTTCAATTGGATAATCGTGAGAGTAAAAAGAGTTGAGAATGTAAAATACTTATTATCAATGACAAAAGGATCATGAAAAACTTTACACTCGTTAAAGATTTATCAAAATTAACATGGGTCTTCGTAAGGTACAACCGTAGCTGCAACAAACCTTAAACCAATTTGTTACTTCGGTACCGTGCATGACGAGTATCATGTTGATCGGGAAAAAAGATAGGGGAAGAGCTATCATAAGTTAAAGATCTGAAACCCTCCGTTAGTATTTGGACCCTGATAGCTTCGGAGATAATCCATTTTTTAAATAACTTCTACAAAATACCATGATCTTTCCGAAATGACCAGGAAGCTTTGACGAAGGTGGGCGTTTCTTGATGAGACAAAAGCAAAAAATACTTGGCAACTCTTTTTGTTGAAAATCTCTGGAAGTATTAAATAGAAAATCTTATGGATACATACCTGTCAATGGACGGGAAAACGCTTCCTTATTACTGACAACAACAAAGATTACCAGAACTTTTATTGAAGCCAAATGCATCGTGGAAAACGAAAGTTTTAGATGTCTTATATTTCTTAAAATTAAGAAAACTTAAATACCCTTTTCCTTACATACCATTCAAACATCATTGTTTTGATTTGATAGAGGGAGAAAACCAGAATCTTGTTAGCAATTGCGATGTTTGTGCTACTGACACCTGTAGAAGTTATCAAAATAAGTGGAAAAGTCATTCCAGCTTAGGCGGGAATAGTGACGAATTAGAACTAGTACGCTCCTGTGAAAGTAATAAGTCAAGTACATTGTCCGAGCGTTTATAATTACGTTATTTAAAGGCAAAGCAAGAAATAGATACATTCTTCCAATTCGGATAAATCTTGATAGCACCATTCCTGTTATGTATTACATTTTCTAAACGGCCAATTGTTCTCTAAAATCAGAGATCTTTCACTTAATTTCACATCCGCACTACAAATATGATTTATTTCATAGTTATCACTTTCAATCTGTTAACCTGTAGAAGGCTTTTTTTTCGCATTTTTTAGGTGAACGAGCAAAGAGAAGCACGAAGCAGGGTTGGAGCTCAAGACACGCGCGGACGGCGGCTCCATTCCGCGTTCCCCTTGCTTTCGATTGATCGCCTTAAAACGAGAAAAAGTAACGTCTGTTCTATAAGCTAGAAATCTCTCTGTCCCCTGAATTTGAACGGTGTTGAATGTTTCTCAACAAAGAATCTATCCATGGTATTTCAAAGTCAGTTATTTTTACTGTTTTGAAGAGGAAAGGCAACATATATAGATGTATTTCTATCTTACTGTCAGTATAATAACAAGAGATGCTGCTTTCCACATACAAAAAAGGCTTTTGAAGAATATAAACTGCTTTATGAATAAAAGCAATTTCAATTTATTTTTTTTATTTTTGAGAAACATCACTATTAATCACTTTTTTGACACCAAGCAATTAACGGATATCTAGTGAATCCAATGCTTTCTTTCTTTTACATCCAATTGTCTGCAGTAAGTTTCTATCCTCTGGGATGCTCAACGGAAACTAATGGGAAGAAGATGAGAGGATCTTTTGTGTCGAAGGTATTGTCCTTGTTCAAGATTCTGTAAGCAGGGCCGGTGAGGTAAGACTTCTGATCCTCTTGTGCAGTGGTCTCGTGCGGGACGCCATGCGCATCTTTTAACACCGGAACGGTGACGAAGCTTAAAGTGGTGCGATGTTTTATTTCTATGATAAAAGAGCGTCAAAAAATCTTGGTCATTAAACTGAACTGGTAAGCTCAATGTCAGGTTCGTTTAGTGACTGATTGAAGTAAAGAGGCAATTAGAGAGTCTTGTTGAATTGGCTGTAATTTAACAACTCTTATAATTTACTTTATTAATTTAGCCTTTCGAACAAACTTTCCCATTTTTATGGTTTTCACACTCAGTGTTCTTCTTATCAAAGACGAGTCGATATATTAATCCTGAAAAGTTCTTTTCTTGAGTGGAGGAAACCTGGGGTCGGATATGCATGAGGTCCTTTTTCATAAGTAATATCGTGGGCATTTCTCTTAAACAATACTTAAAGAGCTTAATAAGATAAGTTTTGGCTGAATAAAAATGCACCAACGGGGATTCAGTAATAATCAAGAGCCTCCTTCCACGTTCCCTAGTTCATACCAATTGTCGTTTGTGAGTCCAAAAAATATGAAAATAATATTAATGAAAAGTCACTTTACTGTGAATATTTTCTCGTTACAGGAAAAAGCTGGCTTGCTTTATTATTTTGAAACGCACAGAAATTCATCACCGCTACCACGATCAAACTTGTTTAACTTTAACTAAAACATTAACAGGTGACAACACCAAACGAAACATAAATTTAGACTGAATTCACGCCTTGGTGACTGACGTCCTACCTCGCTGTATTTTTTTTAAAGGCAGTATTGCGATTATAAGCCCTTCATATCAATCGCCAGATATTGCAGCAATCATAATACGTGATTGACAAACGGAGATAACAGCCAAGTGCTCAATTTACTAATTTAGTTTACCAACATCTGATACAAGAACGTTAAATTGCTCATTTTCCCTTAGATTTTAAGTTTAAGAGAGATGAACTAAACAAAGAACATCACTGAAAGGCTGCCTTACTCGTTCATCTGACTAGTTCGTTCATGCCTTTAAATTTTTCTGGTATCGAGGGACTGTAGTCAGATAGACCAAATATACAGCGTTTATTTGCTTTTTTCTACCAGGGCTTTTTCTTACCGTTACTGATCACCTTCGGTGGCGGCCGTCCTTTCACATCTTCAAAAAACATGACCATGAGAAGCAACAAAAGTTTTATCATATCAGCCATAACATCCTCAATCAATTTACTCCAGTAAAAAAGGCACCTATTGCAACGGTTTTGTGAAGGAAAGGCTTGGTTAAAGATAATTAATTTTCACTTGAGAGGCCTGGAACAAGAAAGACATGAAAGCGAGGTTGATAGTCCTATTCATTTTTGAAATTCAAATTTGTTCGCATATTTAGCCGCTGGCTTAAATTTTTGGTTTTGAGGCTCGAAAATGATGACAGTCATTGCCAACTATGCCAGCGAGCCAGCCAAGCGAAGACTCGAAGCTAGCGAAGTTGGCAGACAATGATATTGGCATCCTTCAGTTTCGAAAGGCTATGGTATTGCACTCTGATTGGTGGTTCTCGAGGAGCGCCTAGTGTGGTCAGTCGCTGGTCTATCTCCCTGGTTTCGGGCCTTTCTCGTTTGTCTCTTTGCCTCAGCCCATTCTGAAAGTGTCTCTTCAGGCTCTGAAGGGCGAAATACCCGCTTCTTATCTGATCGTTCTGAAGTTAAGGTTTCCCATCCGTTGATGTCAATGTCCACAGCCTTCAAGTCCTTCTTGCATACATCTTTATAGCGTATTTGGGGCCTGCCAGTGGGGCGCTTTCCTGAGCTTATTCTCCGTGAAGGAAATCCTTTGGGATCCATTCGTCGTCCATTCTCACCACATGGCCAAGCCAGCGCTTAAGTCTCTGTTTCAGTAGTGTATACACATGCTGGGAATTTCAGCTCGCTCCAGGACTGTGTTGTTTTGAACTTTGTCCTGCCAGGTGATGTTGAGTATGCGTTGTAGACAACGCATGAGGAAATAAATTAATAAAAATCGACCCCACAGGTGCATAGCCCCAAAAGGTAACCAACCGCAATAGTAAATAAGCTAAAAAAGATGGAGAAGGACACTTAGCCAAGTGACGCAACTAACAAATGAGGTAAACTCCAGGGTTGTCTCTGTCGAGGCGAAAAGATCAGGATTTGCCTAGACCCTGCTGACCAAAACAAGACTGAAACACGAACACTACCCAATACCTACAGTGGAAGAAATTGTCTCCAAGATACCTGATGCCAGAATGTTTATGCTCTTCTTACCCGCAACTGGTACTTCAAATGAAACTAGTTTATAAGTCCAACCCTCTGACAATAAGAACACCCCGATTGGAAGATCCAGATAGTTAAAACTGCTGTTTGGAATTAAACCAGCCTCAGAGATGCACCAATGGACCAGAGATAGACCATACAGTTGTGATCATAGATGACATACTCGTTGCTGGTCGCGACATTGCACGGTGTCAAGAGCTAAAACATGAAGGTTAACTTCTACAAAGTTGTGTGTTCTGCCCACAGGTAGGTCCTTCCTTATAGTTCTCGATCTAAGGCGCGCCTCTTGACCGTTACGTAAGGGCTGCCATTCCTCACTCTATCCAGCATTCTCGCTCCAGGTCTTCCAGGGGGCCTCTTTCCTATTATTCCCCCTCAATAACTACTGGGACAAGATCAGCATGCCCGTAGGGTATGACCAAGCCAGACTTTCTGTCTTCGGTTAATAACAGATATAATAATAATAATAATAATAATAATAATAATAATAATAATAA